AGCCAATTTTTTACATACATGTGGAGTCACATACCATATGTTAAAACATGTTAAGAAATACATGACTGTTGCTATCAGCGAATCTGACAAAGTCGGCATTAAAAATTTAATGATCTCTTTACGTTGTTGGGAAAAGGCTGGCAAATAGAGTAGTGCTAGCCCCATTGAAAAAACTAAGAACAACCTAAGAACTGGCTTAAAAATGACTAATATGCACTACTACTGGACACAGCGCCTTACACAGACCTTCCCAACAGGTGAAATACAATGAAAGGCCCTACAACCTCAAAAGAGAAATGGTCCGAATAGAAAAAATTGGTGTTATCTGGCCCTCAGTTTTGAAGATATCTAGGCCATGAATTGAAAATACCCAGTTCCAGATACACAGTGCATTGGGACTCATACCAGCATCGCAGTTGTACACATCGTTTGGAGGTTTGGTTAATAAAGCAGTGCGTTTATTTACTGAGGAATAAGGCAAAGGCAGAGAGTCTATATTAGATTCGCAACGATAGCAGCCGTCATCTAGTTGATCGAGCAGCATATTTGCTTGCCTAGAAAGTTAGCTGCCCGGGGCAACCAGTCAATACATTCTCTGGTGGTTCGAAGTTGAAATCAAGGTTAGCTCGAATACCTGTTGCTGAGATAGATGACACTGAACCGTAAGGTGGGAAGAAACTGAATACTCACAAACCATTTACATGCAGTGGCACCAAATGGAAAGAATGGACAGTCTGTTTTCGTCAAAGCAAAATAGGGAACCGAGAAGAGCTGTGGAGCAAACATTTGAACACCGAGAATCATCCTGGTCATACCTCACTTTTGGATACAAAGGTCGCCATCAAAGTATGTCATCAAGTCCGAGGTAGTACAACTGAGGTCATTGAGTCAGCTGTTTCCTGCCCCCATCGCATGTTACGGAGAAGTTGGTCAATCACACGTGCTATAACGACTCACTGTTGCTCTACTTCATCACGACGATTAGACATCACTGTGATTCGACTAACAGCAAGTACTGCTGATTTCCAGAATGTATTTCCTCCTTCTGGAATAGCTTTCAACTGTGCGTGAATGTAGTACGTACCTGAAAATTTATTGGTTACAGGTTGAGTGAAGTCACCTGCAGAAGATCAAACTAAAATGGAGTCTCTTGCTTGACTTTAGTCAATTTGGAGTTAATTTGATTTCAGCTACGAATCATTCTACAGAGAAAATCTAGCAACACCACTACCGGAAAACACTGTGGTTGTCAGCTGCTTAAGTCTTCCATATCACTGCCTGTAAGATCAATTCTATTCCCATCCTTGAATCAAGTCAACCTGTCCCAGATCAGCCTAGCGTTGTTGCAACCCAATTATCCATGCCTGACGTGTCTATCCCTGCTTGTTTAATGAACTGTGTGTATGTGTTTTTACCTCGATCTGTTTAGTCAGACGGTTGAACTCATGGCCCAATCAGAGTATTTTGTGAACTGTTATTTTTGCTGACCCATGTCTAACTTTGTACTATTCTGTCGAGTTTATCTTATTTATTGATTTTCATCTGTATTTTCCTACCTGGTTAAGTAGCCAATTAAATTCTATCTTTGTGCTTATGCTCGGTCTATCTCTCTTAAACGCTCTCTGTTTTATGTTATGCCTTACTTGGGTTCATTCTTCTACTGACTGCTTACCTGAACGGTCGTGTCTGGTTCCGGCTAGTTCGCAATTTTGACTTTAACGTTATTCCGCTCTGATAGCGGTACCTTGCTTTCTGTTAAGCGTTGTGATTTGTACTCTTGAAACCGTTAAGGTTTGTTGTATATATAATTATTGATTTGTTTATTAATAGTACCGTAGAAACAGTGACCGGCTTCTTGTTTGTTCTGGACCGGGATAGCCTTTATCTACGCGTGACTTAATTTCAAGCGATATTGCGCTTACACTGCCCCTAGTACCGAGTGTTAGAGACGCGATGTATAATTTTCGGCATGCCTCCTTAAAGGCTGGAAATAGCAAAAGTTTGAAGTTTTCTTCGTAACCACCACCTTTGGGAAAATCCGACGTTTTTCAAGTTACCTTCATCTCGGCCATATGCTTGAAAAATTGACAGAGAATTCATTATATCAACAGTCTTACCAGAAGACTGGATAAAATATATGAGGAAACACACGAAAACCAAATGGCGTTTCCAGTGATAACCACCCACTGATGTTGCCCAACAGTGTGTTTGGTAGAAAATTCCTAAGAGATGGGAAAACTTCCCACCATGGCTGAAGACAAAAATAAGATTGCTGAAGGCCGTCTCGTGGAATTAGTATTCCGGAGGGTATATGTGTGTAATACGGGGCATAGAATGTCATATAGATGAGAAACGGATTTTTTACCCAGCTGCCTAGAACTACTGCCAAAGCTTCAGGTGCTACATCTGTAGCAGAATCTTCCCTACTCGTTCAGATAAACAAGACTTGCTGGTGTGCGACGTGATTTCTGTTACGCCGAGTGACCAAAAAGTACTAGGTAAAGTCGAAAACCCCTTAATTTCCTTAGCTTGTACTTAATCAGCCTTTGTGTTCTTGTTCTATTGGGCAGATACTGTTGCTATCTCTTATTCACGTATAAACAGAAGTTACGGGAATTGTTAATATGGTGGGTGAAAGTAGCCTTAAAGAAAGAACTAAAATATCATATTTTGTAGTCACAAGGGCGTCAGCCAGGGGAAACAATAGCCCATGGACATTAGCCCCTCTTTCTTTCCGGTTCGAAAGACCTGTGTACATCTCCTGTGTTCTGGTACCATGCCTATTTTGCCACAGTCTAGCACTGAAACGGTACAGGTGAAACCAAGTGAACATGACACTGCACCTGTATTATTAGAAGTCAGTGTGTGACCCACAGAAAAACAAAAATAAAACTCTCAAGATGTCATAAGACCTCGAAAGCGTTTTCTAGAAAAGGAGACGAATCCCAGGCTTGTAGCGCTGTCGTTTCTGAAACTATCTTGGGATTTGAATGCAATTTTTGAAGACGATGGTTACACTGCAGTTGTGATAAAGGAGTGTCGAAAACATATGATGAGTCTATACTAACTAACCCGCACAGGTGGCTCTGGTACATTTGCCCCTTTGTCGCCCCGAACAGTCCTACACAGCGTGTCTCCAGATAGCAGAAATAGCACACCACTTTTCTATATAGACACACTCATGCAGCGCTCCACCTGAAAACACCACACCACCTAGACTTGGTAAAGACCGTAAGTAAAGAGGTACGCATTGTATTCCGTGAGTTTACTGGATGGCTTATTCTACGTGGCGGACCCCTAGAAGTCAGACCTATCATGATGCACGCCTGGAACTCAGGAGTGACAGGTGATTTCAGGCTAACCTTGTCAAAAAACAACTGGCGAAACCCAAAAGCCAGTTCTGATTCATCCGGGTAGAAAAGCTACCAACTAGAAGGCATGCACCTTAGTACATCCAAATGGTCATTACCTTACTAGTCTGTGGAATTCTGAAACGTCCAAATGTGGCTATTACTGGTACGAACCTATATGGCGGCGCTACTATTTCACCGAAGGAAATCCTAGTGGCTACACTCCAAATAAACCCGGCAATAGTAATAGGGAAGCTAGAGAGGCCCCTGTCTGAAAAGTCCTCAGGTTGTAATGACATCAGGCCACCTGTTCTGAAACGGCGCTCCGAAGCTCTCTATATGCTCTTACCTGACCTGTTCCAACACTCGATGCATTCAGGGAAACTGCCAAGGTAGTTGAAGACAGCCATCCTTTCTCCAATTTCCAAGGGTGGGGACAGGTAAAATGCCACCAGTTATAGACCAGTAGCGCTAATGCCACTGGCATCAAAAGTACTAGAAAGTATTATTGATGATCACATCAGGGGACACCTTGACAGGATTAAAAGAGTCCATGAAGCACAACAGGGTTTCAGGAGAGACAGATCCTGTGTAACATACATACTATCGGCTTGAGACGAAGGGATATCATGGTAGGATAGGAGTATTCTAATCCGCTACACTTGAAGAAGGCGTTTGACACGGTTCACCATGACCATCTCCTAGACAAAATAAGTCAGGCAGGTGTAGGCGGGCCGCTTCTGTCATGGTTGAAGGAATACCTAGCAAAATGAGAATTATGCACCAAGGTCAATCTAATTCGATCGTCTTCCCACAGCTCGTCATCAGAAGTGTCGCAGGACTCTATCACAGGGTCACCAGTGTTTTTGATTTTTATCGACGACCTACCGTGTGGTCTAAGCTGCCTGACTCTTCTATACGCTAACGACGTAAAGACATGGAGGGCAGTAAGGTGTTCGAAAGACTCAGATAGGTTGCAGGAAGTTCTAGAGCCTCTAGAAGACTGGTCGATGGCCAGTGACAGGACTTTCAACCTGAAAAAGTGCAAAGTAGTGAAATTACGCACCTAAAGGCTTCAGAATGCAGGTAACCCCCTGTGCAATGAAAGCTTGTCCTGCACAACGTCGGAGCGTGACTTGGATCTAGTTCTAACGGAAAAAATGGACACAAGCGTAGATTATGCTGGGGATGTAGCGAGGGCATATGTGAACATACACTTCTCACACAGAAAGTTAGTTGCACTCACTCTTGACCTCTTTTTGAGTTTGTACAAAACGTACGTCAGACCACACCTTGAAGTGCACAATATCAATGCAACCCCACTGCTTGGAAGAGATGCAAACCTTTTCGAAAAAGACTAAAGACGGGTAACCAAGGGAGTGACGGGGTCTTCGAAACAAACCATATGATGAACGGATACAGAAATTAGGTATCGTCATACTCATCTACTCTTGGCCTAGAGTGAACTTAATTACTGCCTATTGGATTACAAATGACCAGAATCACCCAAACGAAGGTGTTCTGCTATTGAATAGGTATGTTATTCCTCTGGAAATCCCAGAAGGAAAAGATGTTGGAAATTAGTTTTTTTGATGTAACACACAATAACACGGGACTAATAACAGTTATTTCACTGTTAGAACCTTATCAGCCATTCGGTTGTTGGGATTATTTTACAGCTATGTGCTGTCTGGAGTTTTCATGATGATTACAGTTTAGCTTCGTGAATATTGTGGGTCACTCATAGTGCGCAATCTTTGAACATGCAGTCAGCTGATCGAAATCCAATTCTCGGATATCAAATGCTAAACATAACTGGGGATGATGTTACTGAACTCCTTGGTTTTATGATCGACGCAGATTTTAACGAACAAGTGACGAAATATTATCCGAAGGTGAAAAATATTTGACCCCATATACGTCATGATTTTTCAGGAGACACAGCGGATAAATGATATTTGCAATGTACTTTCATTTGAGGACTGTCCGGCTGATGTAAGCTTCCCGAAATATTATGCTTTGCTAAGGTTTTAGAAAACTTGGATGGCTACTTGTGCGGCCATTACCCACCACTTATTTCAATCCCTCGTATTCGACATTCATCGATGTAAGCGTTATTACCGTTATAATATTTTTGAGTAGATCACTGGCAGACTTAGGCCAGCTCATGCTTCAGTCCAAATTCGCTCGGTGTCGAACGCGATTTGTGGTACCTTCGTTTTCATTTCAACAAAAGGTTTGTTAAACTTATGTTGAAGTAGTTCTTACTTGCTATCACACAGATCATTTTCACTTCAACGTTTAGTAGTCTTAAATTAATGATGTATATTCTTTACAGCGCTGCCGTTTTAAGTCTCTTGGATTCGGTAACAAAACCAAATCCTTAAAGCGAATTGGTATGTATGAGTGAAAAATAACCAGTCTTTGTAGTATGAACACTATACATATCAGAGAGCATAGCTGTGGGATTCAAAAGCCAAGGAAGTACTTTATCCGTGTTGAGTATTGGGTTTCCCACCCAGTCATAAACTCTAGGAAACAACTACCAGAAGAAGTGGTTTTTGCACCTTCAGTCAACTTGATCAAGAGGCGATCAGATAAACATAGATACTTATTAAAGGACCATTACCACAGTCTCGAAGCTCTCTACTTTCAACTGTAAAGTCTGGATGTAGTCGCTAATAGACGAGTTATATATATTGCAATTAATTGGGTTTTTTGAGATTTTCATCCCAGTTAAGCATGAAGGAAATCTGAAGGGATTTAACTACCCGGCGCAAAACTGTATCAGATGATCCCGTTGTGCGAAATTCTCTGTAACATAAATGAATGTGACTGTTGTAGGCGTTCTGCAGTCCTGCTTGTATTACGGATGTGCCAAAGTCTTTTCTTCATCCTACTACAATTCTCATAAAGAATCCATATATTTCAGATGTCAAGTCTAGCATTTGTAATTTTGCATTATAAAATGAATCCCATATGGGTCAGATCTATGTACATTTTTCCGGACACTTCCATGCACATCCTTTTGTATCCTATCTGCTGTCAAGTGCCTGCTTAATTTTTATGCTAGACTACATTTAAAAATGGAATAGGCTTTTTAACGATGCAGTTTGTATTCCTTAACTCGTTCATTTTAAGCTGCTGTTGAAACACGTCAATCCTCCTTCAGGAGGAAAACTGGTTCATTTTAAGCTGCTGTTGAAACATCAGTATAGTGTATACAAACGTGTTTTTATTCTGCCTCTGTTCGTGTAACTGACATTTCTTTTGTTGCTTACTGAATGCTTTCTATGCTTGCTTTCTACATGCTCTCAGGGAAACTGAAGAGCACTGTTTAATAAAATAGGAAAGCAGACTCAGTGAGCAGCTTAATAGATAAAGTTCTTGAGCTTTGTTTCATAAAATGTGTTTACGACAACAGCTAACTGAAAGGACTCGTTCTTGATTGGTCAAATGCCATTTGTATTGAAATTGTTTTTTACAACTACGTTATAATGTACTGTAAAACTGTACAAATATTTGGATATAGAAGAAAATCCTGAAAATTGTGACCATAATTTACCCATATTGAATTTTTCTTAATTTTGTATTTGTCTTACCTTTAGTATGTATGCCGGTCTAGTACGTTAAGTGGACCATTGGAATTTTATGGCCGACAAGTTGCCACTGTTGCAGGTTTGTTGGTCTCAACTAGTGCCGAAATATTTAATTGACAGGTTTTACTTTTGATGGGCACGTTGTCAATCCTCCTTCAGGAGGAGAACTTCAGGACATAAGTCTCGAGTAAGTCTTCGTCTGTATAGCAACTATCTGGGTTTTTTAAGTCCTTACCTTGATGTGACATCCTTTCAGAAATGGCTGCCAATACGCTTTTTTGCCGTAGAGTTTTAGATGTGGGGAAAAACTGTCAGAAAAAATGGTCGTTTTTATTTTTGTTGTTTGGAAACCTATGTTTAAAATTCAGTCTAGTGTTTTGGAAACTTGGAGAGACTTACTGTATTTGTGCATGCATTTTTCTAACGTCATTCAGGTAACTATAATTATTATTCCCTTGTGTTCAGAGTAGAACATAGGGCTTCAACAACACATCCACTTTGTTCTGCTTGGTGCTATCCTCCTCACCACACAATCTCCTCCATGTCCCTGAACAACCTTCTCGTTTCCCATTGAGAATCCACTCGAGCGATAGCCTGGAGCGGGATGTTATTCGACGGCCTCCTCAGTGTGTGCCATATCCATCTCCACTTTCTTCTGCATATATATTGAGGGATTGGCTCTTCATTCGGTTTGTTGCCAGAGTTTTTTGTTGTCAATTCTCTAAGACCGTCCATCTGATCTTCAGTGTGGAGCGAAGGTAACTGTTGATAAAAGTTTGTCGTAGCCTGTTGGAAATGCTCTCTGTTAAGCACGTGCCAAGTTTCTTGCCGAAGTAAAAGCACTAGCTGACTTGACATTTGTGTTGAAAATCCGAATCTTGTTCTTTATTCTGTGGAGCGCAGAATATTTCCAAGCTGGTTTCAGGTTTTCGAGGTCGTATCTCGCCTTTCCGATTCTGCCTGGCTTTGACAGTTTCATCCCTTCTGCTCGTGGTTGAAACGATGCTCCCTAGATGAGCGAAGGAAGTGACTATTGTCAGTTTTCTCCCTTTGATGATGATTGGTGCTGGTTGTTGTTGCTGTTAGTTGGTTATCTTCATCACCTCCGTCTACTCTATGTTCACCTGCAGTTCTATCTCCGCTGTCTACTTCTTCAGCTAGTTTGTTGGTTTTCTACTGTAAGTGTTCGAGTTTGCGTGACATTAAATATAAACCATCTGTGAAATCCAGGTCTTTTAGAGTCTTTTTATCACCCAACGTATTCCTGTCTTCCCGAACCCCACAGTCTGACACAGTCCACCTCAATTAGGAGTACCAGCTTGTCTTCCTCCTGTCTTCACTTCAGAGGCTTCTCTGAGTTTTCAGTTGTGGATCACCTGACACGTGGCATTATCAAATAACCAGCTGTTGGATACGGTTGATAAATATTTGGGCACTGCACGCCGGAGTGTTGAGGCAGTTTCCAAATTACTTTTCGGTCAACGCTGTCTGCTGAAGGCTTTTCCGAAGTTGATAAAATTAAGGTAGAGAGAGTTTTGACTACCATTCTGTTTTGTTCTGTGATGTTGACGCGTAGAGCCGCAATTTAACCAGTACATGATGATTTACCTTTCCTTAATCCAGCTTGTTCTGGTGTGTGGGGCTGGCGGGGTTCTACATCCAGGGCATCTTTTGTTCGCTCTCTCTAGGATGATGCGATTTAATTGTTTACTTGGCTGAGACAAAAACATTATTCCACGCCGGTTCTTGCCGAAGTTTAAGTTGCCCTTCTTTGGTAGCTTGACAAGATAACCTTTTTTCCAATCGGTCGGCAGCTTCCAATCCTGCCAAACCTTATGCCATAATGGCATCAGCATATCTACCGCAGTTTGTGGGTCTGTTCTCAGTGCTTCGAGGGGAATGCTGTCTAGCCCTGCGGCCTTCCTGGACGGCTGTCAGTAACTTGATCGCACTTAGGATTTCTGCTTTTGTTAGAGGATTAGTGTCCACTGGCAGGTAGTTCTGTGCGTGCTGTTGATAATGGTGTATTCCTGGGCGAGTTGCAGGTAATGGTCAACTCAAGAGTCTTTTGAATTGATCAGCCCATTGTTTGATTTGTTTCTCCTCCTTGGTAATTATGTTCCTTTGAACATCTTTATTGGTATCACCATCTGGGTTTATCTCTTCCCAGATAGAGACCTGGTTATCTGATATAAAATCTTGAAGTCTCTTTTACTCTCAGCCTGTGTGTCACTGTGTCGTAGAACTGTCTTTTGTCTTTCCCAACATTCTTATTTACTTCTCTATTCAGTGCAGTGTACATTGAACTCAGCTTCTTCTGTTTTCCATCCTCGCATTGAGTCATCTTCTCTCTCACCATCCTTCTCTTCTCGTTTCTATTAGCTTCCACGTAGGTATCTGTTGAGAGCCATTCCTTGTCTTGTCTCTTCTTTCTTCCTAGAACAGTTGTACACGTTTCCTTGAATATCACCTTCACAGAGTTCCAATGTTGTTCCACACAGGTTTCCTCAGTAATCCTACATAATGTCTCTAACTTTGCTCTGATGGCTGCAGTGGTGTCTTTTGTAGTTCTGTCTTTCAATTTCTTAGTGTTGAAATTGGATTGTGATCTGTCTGCAGTTGTTTGGGTGGCTTTCAACCTGATATAGAAGATTCCTAGAACTAGATGATGGTCCGAGCCCACATCTGCTCCCCTTTTCGACTTTGTGTCCAGTAGGCTGAGTCTCCACTTCCTTGAACAACATTGAAATGAAGTCTGTCTGGTTCGTGGTGTGTCAGTCAGGCGAAATCCATTTCGCTTATCTTGTGTATATCCTTGTGCTTGTACCCGCTGCCTCCAATCGTCAAATCATTTAAGGCGAAGAAGTCTGGGTTGAGTTCTCCGTTGTCATCCATTCCGCCGAGTAAGAGCCTCTCGACACATCATGAGTTCCCTTCGTGTATTATCAGCTCCTAGTTCAGCTGGCATTCATATAGCCCATGAGGATTTCGATGTCACCATTTTGGATGTCAATTACGATTCGTAGTTGTCTATAAAAATCTTCCTTCTTGTCTTTTTCTGCGTTGTTTGTAGCACTGGTTAATTGTGGCCTGCCTTCCTTCTTTTTGATTTGAATCATAAACTCACTTGATTTGAATCTTGCTGTCATGATCCTGCAGGAGGAGACTAGTTCCCACTTCATCAGAGCTTTGGATGCCACTGGTGACATCGTGATAGCCACTCAGTCCTTCAATGTACTCGTGGTTGTCGTCTGGGTGATCAGACCGAAGTAGAATACTGGCTCTACAGTTGATAATTTTCATAATCCAGACCCATTCCATCTGCTCTCGCAGATTCTCAGCACCTTTATGCCGTATCTTCGCATTTTTTGGCTGCATGGGAAGCCTTCCTAGCCTGGTACATTGTACTTACATTCCACTTCCTCATTCTTATTCTTGGTTTCATCGAGAGAAGATACATCGGTTGACTGGCTTCCGGAAGGCTTTCACCAGCCCGCTTCATTTTGCCTTTCCTATTCCGGTGAATGATAAGTTTGTCATTTGAATTTTTTTGGGTTTTTAATATATTTCTTGTGCATTGAATTTTCTGTAGCAGTTTGATTTATTTTGTGGTGTAGGGTCGCTAGCCCCACGTCCAACCCTCTCTCTTTTCCTGGGCTTGGGACCAGCTAGAAAAGCAGCCAGCCACTAAACTAGGCGAGGTTAGTTAACTATTAATGGATTTAAAATATTTAAACAGTCAGAAATTTCAGCCTTGTAAATCATAAGCCACTGATATTAATAGTGCTGTGTTAATAATGGTTAGGCGGTTGCCGTATCTCTAATTGTTTAGTTATGTTGTATCATTTTGCCTATGTGTGTACTTAACTTTCAGGACGGAAAATGGGCGTCAGAGTTTGGAGAAATTGCGTGATGATGACTGCGAGTTGATTCGACGTTTAAATGTCACCTATATCTGTGATTTTATGTTAGAATATAGAAAAATAAAATGTTGGGTTCCGTAAGTTATTTCACTATCATATGTACTACTGTTAATAATCTTTTATTTGCACTGAACAACTGTTCCCGTATGCTTAAGACATTTTGTATTATTATTGTTATGATAGTCTAGTCATTCTGCTTACTTAACATTGCACTCCCTAGTCATCAAATTATTATTATTATTATTGTATCCTTTAGTTCCTAGAGGAACATAGGGCTTCAGCTGCGCACCTCCATTGACTTCGGTTTTCTGACAACTTTTTCACCCTGCTCCAGGTCTGTCCACATGCTTTCATCTCCTCCTCGCATGACCTCCTCCAAGTCACCCTTGCACTGACGACCAACTCGCCGCCTCCCTTTCGGGTTCCACTCGAGGGCTTGTCTAGTGATGTCACTTGATGGTTTCCTCAGCGTATGGCCAATCCATCTCCATTTCTTTCTGCCTATTTGTTTCACAATCGGTTCCTGATTGGTTCGCTCCCAGAGATCCCTGTTGCTGATCTTTTCTGGCCATCTGATCTTGAGTATTGAGCGGAGACAGCTGTTAATGAAGGTTTGGAGTTTGTTTGAGATGCTCTTTATGACTCGCCAAGTCTCTGATCCGTATAGTAGCACTGACTTCACATTGGAGTTGAAAATCCGGATCTTATTTTTGATGCTGATTGCTGTTGACCTCCACACAGATTTGAGAGTAATGAAAGCTTGTCTTGCTTTTCCGATTCTGGCTTTGATGTCCTCGTCAGTTCCGCCTGTAGTTGAGACGATGCTTCCCAGGTAGGTGAAGGAGGTTGTTTCTTTCAGGTTCTTCCCATTTATGCTTATTGTGGTCTGTTGGTGTTGTTGATGTTGGCTAGGAATCTTCATTATCTCTGTTTTATCTATGTTCACGTGAAGTCCTATCTTTGATGCTTCTTCTGCCAACTTGTTACTTTTCACTTGCATATCTTCCAGTTTATGGGAAATCAGACATATATCATCGGCGAAATCCAGATCCTCCAAGTCTTTTGTGTCAGTCCATTTTATGCCTGTTCCCTCGTTGGTTGCCGTTGTCTGTCGCATTATCCAATCAATTGCAATCAGGAAGATCATTGGTGATAGTAGACAGCCTTGCCTCACTCCCGTCCTCACTTCGAAGGCTTCCGTAAGTTTCCCGTTGTGGATTACTTGGCATGCAGCATTGTCGTATAACTGCTGGATGAGGTGTATAATTGTCGATGGGACCCCGTAGTAGCGAAGTAGTTTCCAAATGACCTCTCGATCGACGCTGTCGAAGGCCTTTTCAAAGTCGATGAAGTTGAGATAGAGAGGTGACTGCCATTCCAAGCTTTGTTCAATGATGATCCGTAGAGTGGCGATTTGATCAATACATGATTTGTTTCTCCTGAATCCAGCCTGTTCCGGACGAAGTTTTTCATCTAGGGCTTGTTTGATTCTCTCCAGGATGATGCGACTTAGTATCTTGCTTGGAATGGACAGAAGCATAATTCCACGCCAGTTTTTACATTGACTTAAGTCTCCTTTCTTTGGAAGTTTGAATAAGTAACTGTCATCAAATTAACAGTTTTATTCAACATGATTGTACTTCGTTTAACTTATGAGACTTTACTAGTGTGATATTGTAACCAGTAAACTTATCACTATCGGTATAAATAACCTTATATTTATTCAGTTTCGAAACAAAATAGAAAATATTTGAAAATAGTTTTCACAGTAGCAGCATTTTATAGAGCTGTTATTGACTTTAGATTATAAAACTGCTTAATTAACGCATATTATCCTTTCAGGTTATAGAATATAACATTATACAGCTTTTGTTTCGTGTAAAGAATGGTTTAAGTAAAATTATTAAAAAGTTTAAATGCTTATACACCACCTGGTTATTATATTTCTATATATTTTTAAGCCTTTTATATTTTATCTACTTTTTCCGATCGGAGGTTGGGTATCTTCAGAGGCCAAATAAATGGGTTTCCAACGTTATTCACCTAACTTCCAATATATACATATATATAATGCATAATATATACATTTCCCTTTAGCTGTAAAACCACATATACACAAGCACTAGTAAAAAGAATTAGTTTGACTATGTGGTTATTGCTTTGTATTTGCTATTGAGTGTATGGTAAACTTTAGGGCCATCTAAAGAGAAATTTGGAGGAAAAGACAAAATGGAGATGTGTTGCTGAAGCCCTATGTTCCTCCTCCAAGGGAATAGTAATAATGAATTAGTTCACAGATATAGTATCATCTTAGACAACGTATGTATTACGATAGGTCTGTCTTTCTGTTTTCGACATAGAACTTTGCACCTATGTGCGGTAGTTCAAGTCGCCACACTCTATGTAGCACACAAAGCACGAGAAGAAGGTAGAAGAAATGCATAATAGAGACAGTAAACAGAGGTGTGAGACAAAGAAATAGTAATAACGAAGAACAATATAGTTTCATTGGAAATCACAAGTCACAAGGAGTGGATGCATCTGCACCAGCCATTGAGAACGATTTTGAGCCATATCACCAATTGTTTCCTATCATTGGTTTTTACCGTCCCGAGGACCCCAACCAGTCAGGAAGTTTACGCCTTCTTACGTGACTGGCTTAAACTAACTATTGTGGATTTCATTGACTGGTGCCATGTTTTGGTTTGACCTCCGCTAGCTCTTTTCCAGCCTGACCAATCCTATGTCAGCTAACATTGCCCGTTGGTCGAGGAAGGCGATGATTAGGCAAACGTAACATATGTCGTAACCATCTCTCTCGGTAGTGTAAATTCACAGCCTCGTCGATTGATTACCTCTCCTTACCTAGCACTCGACTGATGCTTAACCTCAATATTGCTCACCTTATTACGATCGGTAAAGAGTATTGACTAAAGAATCATTAAACAAGCTATCCCTTCCGGTTGATAGTTAACGAATACTATTTGAACTTGTTAAGCATGACTGTTTTCCTTCCAGATGAAGTTCTTTATCCGTTCTCTACTTATATTTTTTTACTTTTGATCTATATTGTTTTATTATTATTGTGGGGGTGCATCCTTCTTGGTGCCATATTGTACCAATTTTTTTCTGCGTTTAAATAAAATAAATAAATATAATAAAGACTAACCCGAGTGATCTATTATTCTGAAAGTGATGCAATTAAATATTATAATTTCGAATAGATGACTAAAACTCAAGTAAATAAACTTCTCATAGTCCCCCCATACTAGCAGTACGATTGGCTCTAATTATATTCAGATTAAATTTCTCGAGTAATATTCTCAAACTTCATCTTGTTTCATTTTGATGGGATAGTTTCAGAATAAAAATGCTGGCAAGTAAAATTGACTGACTGAAATACCAGTTAAAAACGCCATTTACTTACAGTTACGGAATTAAGCCCATAGAATCAGGCCATTACAAACCAGAGAGTATGCACAATCTCTGGTGGTTCGATTGAAGGAGTAACAGTTAATAAGGTTAACTTAACCTCATGCAGGGTGATTTGATTTTCAGACAGTTGTATTGGTAAAGTGACATTCAAAAGTAAATCTTTGAATTATGGTTATTGTAATTCATGAAAGTATCAAAGATGATTACCTTTGAAAATGGTTTAAAGCAGATGTGTCCATTCTTTTGGTTTTCATCTGAAAACAGTATTATGCAGAAGAGTGCGGTTATATACACTTTGCGTGTAAGAAAGAATTACTGTGTTAATTGTTGGTTACTATTGGGACAGTACGAATGACCGATTCGACATTAATCATCTTATTATAATTTACTAGTATATGAGTGTATTCAATAAAGTGCATCTTCTACTATTGTATCGTAAGCAACTTCTATTACCGAGACTACCGTAGCCAAGATGTTATATTATGATCCTCTTTTTACGTACGAAAGTTGTTTCATGTCTGTTACCAGTATTGAATCCTACATTATTTAATTATATTTTAAAGGAATGAAGATTACCTCCTGAATGAATTTTCACCCAAAATAAGTTTAACTGTAGGTATTTAAACGGCTGAACGCATTCAATCCTTATTTTCTTATAGTAGTTTGACCTACCTCTGGTGATTTTTTCATTAGAAGTGTGACCATTTTATTAAACAGTGAGCTCCTTTTTCAGTTATTAGCTTAAACTTCCTTATATCGCTGATGAAAAGTAGCTATTATTTTAATACAGCAGTGTTGTTCTTCTGACTTTATAGCTGTAATTATGGCAATGTTTCCTTATAACAGGAAAACCCAGTTGGATAAGTTATAGAGCTCATTTATACACCCACTAGGCATTCAGTAAGCTTCATCCATCTGTGCTAACTATAGTGAGTAGCCAAACGAAGAATATTAGAAGTCCACGAAATCACTTAACTCATGACATTCTAGAACAGTGAGAGACATTAGTAATTCATATAAGTCGCACTGACTTACATTCATAAGATGTATGTTATATTTCAACCTGTATTCCTACCTTGAATATGATGTAAATAGAAAAATCTACAATCCAACCAAGTTACGGCAATTTATATGATTCTTAGTATGAGTTATTTGAAGTTGTTTAGGCTATTTAAAGGCGTTCAGAAGATAACTTGAAAGTATGTAGATTTACTCATCTCATTCCATCCTTAAACTTAATCTGTATTAAGAAGTAAATTTTTCCACTCCTTTTTTTGTTTTCTAGCCTATTATGAGTATTAAAACCACTATCACTTTGTTCTTGATCGTACAGAAATTTGGTTAACTAGACAGTATCATCAGATAACTCATTACTAAGTACTGTTGAGTCATATTCTTTTTTGTTTCTACGTGTTTTTTCTTTGAGTTGACGTTAGATTCTAATTGGAAATAACAGTCAGTTTAGTTTTCAACTAGATACATAAATTTATAAATATACGAATATCTTTGATGGCTTCTTTTCACATCAATACATTTACGCGCCTAAATTCATTCACCTAATTGTGTTATTTTGTCGTATAGCATCAGCTCTTCAGAAAAAGTGGATCAACAGGGACGCTACAACGATCTTATAATCATTCCTCTACCTTATCCTGGTAGTGAATTCTTTCGTATATGGCGTGATTCTGGTTATGCAATGCACAATTTATTCTTCGATTGGAATCGGGTAAATATTGTTTAAAAACATTTATATTGCTTTGAATTTGCTCAACCTTTAATCGTGTAAAAAAGAGTAATTAATGGGTGTTTTGATTTTTACCGTAACTGATTTACAAGAGTGAATTAATCATACTCTTTCGGAATATGCTCATCTTGTACAGTCGCTTCAGCATAGTTATGTCATTGGACTGTAGTCTCACATTTTGCACTAACTGACGGTAGAATTCAGAAGGTGCCTTTTACCCACCCTAGTGTGAGTCAGGTGAATAGAAATAAATCCCTAGGAGTGTTAGTAACACCTTGTTTCAATCTCTATGATGTGCTTTAAGCTAACCAGCACATTGGTTACAGTTTGTTTAACAGCAGAGACTGGCTATTTTATTACTATGGAACAATAAGGAACTAATACGTGTTAAGTCAATTGCGGCCATTATGCTTTGGAAATAATGGGTACTGGGTTTAAGTCATACTGGATTCACCCAAACATATAGAGGTACAGATACATCCAAACGACTAGTCTAAAACACACGCATATTGAATTTTACTTTCGATCACTACTAAATTGTACTTATATATGTATACACAATTGTATTTCCCAATGTAATGTTTGTGTCATTAAAGCTTACTTTTCTGAAATTTGTTTTGAGAGAAAAATATCTGTCTTGTAAACCTTCAAATTCAATATCGTTTTTAAAATGGTGAGATCAGATGTTTTATTTAAGGATGGTTTTATAAAATTAGACTTAATGGTCATTCTTTTATGATTACTTAACAACCTGAATTTTTGTTAACTTGTTCACAAAAATGATGTTTGGAATGAAAGTTTAAACAATATTCTTGATGCAAATCCTTTTACGTCATCATTCCCGCTTTCATGTAACGTAGTATGGTTTGCTACTAATAAATAGATATAAGTAGTTTATAGAATAATTCGTTTGGAAAAGCAGTTATAATTTATGTTGTTAAGAATAATCTAGGAAAAAAACTAGAAGAACCTAAAAGGCAACAGGCAACATGAAACAAAACAGACCTGGTACTGGATGAATGATATTATTTGCAAGCAGTGAAACCAATTCAGAATTTGATATTTTCCTGAAGTTCATCGCATTTTGCTCCAATAAACATAAACTCTACCTTCGTCTGTCTTGGTCTGCTTAGTATTTTTTTTTGCAATTTATTATGTGAAATTTTTTAGTCAAATTTTGCGTTTCAAAAGTTCCCTAAATTATTTTCGTTTTTATCAATATAAAGGAGTTCAGTCTTGTGACTTTTGTTACTTTCTGAATTTGAATTTTCCAGGGTTAAGCCACTAATTTCAGTGGGATCTTTATCTTAAGCACTAATTAGCTATGGATTTTATCAAGCTCACACCACATGCCAGTAGTGAGAGCAAACACGTAACTAATGTTATTCGGTTCTCGGTGGTATTCAACTTATTTCAATCTAATAAAAAAGTACTTTGAAATCAACTGATTTTCTACGATTTTGTCAAATAAATATGACATGTTTCTAAATTTTTAGTTGGTGGCAACTTTCTGAATCAAACTACACAGAGTTTCATTACCTTTCGCCTGCCTGTATTCTGTGTTAGTTTTGATTATCAAATAAATCATGTTTTGTAGGCATATTTGTTTTGTTAATTATGCTGCCTAAGATCATTTTTAACACCTATGTGCATTGTTTGCACCCTGATTTATATACTTACTTAATACTTACTTTACGGAATTGTGATGTTCTGAGTTAAATTGAAAAGAACAAGAAGTTCAGCAAAGATATCTTTTCGGTGATTGCCGAAAATCGCGAATCGCCGAAAAGATATCTTTGCTGAACTTCTTGTTCTTTTCAATCTAATGTTCTGAGTTAAGATGTAGTATAACTTATTCACTATGTACTTAAGGGTTTTGTTCGGAAACTGAAGATGTGTAACTGGGATAACTGTAGTCACTTATCAGGAACACATTTCTCATGCACCAAGATATGAGCCACACTTATTGTGTGAGAGCTGGTAATAGTGTCTAGGCGGAAGTGGGGGCGAAGTCCAGAATGAGGACTTTTTGGTTAAATGTCGAGCGGTTAAGTCGGTAAGCTATGTATCCATAGGGAAACTATAAAGTCTACAGAGAAGATTGAAGCAGTATGTTATCGGGTTGGTTGGGGTCATTTGGATGTGGCAGATGCGGGTATCGTCTTCCTGCTCATTCGTTTGCAAACTCAGAAAAATTGACACTGTTTTAGAGCCAATAATGATCTTTTTGATCGATCTCCTGTAAATAAAAGTTATGGGATAAGGTGAAATGCGCAGTTTTCATGGTTTAAGTTTTATAGTCCCACTTACTAAATTGCAAGGATAAAACAACTAGAATTGCAAGTGTAAGACTCTCCAGTCTTAATGATATTTTCCAGCTTAATTCAAATCACTCTCTAAATTAACCTAATGTGGTATTACAGAAACGTCGAGGAATAATTGTTCCAATTGATGTGGCTACTTAAGTTATTATGATTCACAAGTCTATTATTTCTCGTAATCTAGCTGATACAGTGTCAAGCTAGGTATCCAAATGCTTCTGGTTTGAATCCTGGGGTTATCATCTCAACACTAATTATCACTCATAACATTATTTTTTTTTATTATCCTGAATGAAGTTTAGCAGTTATGTAACGACAGAAGGCCAGGACACGGAAACCAGAGGTATATTTTCAAGTGATCAAAGCGCTATTTGCATAGATACAGTTTTATATTCTCTAACCAATGTTCGAGCGTGTGATTTTGGTTCACATTAAACGAGATGAAATAGAATGATCTAATGTACATAGTATTCTGTTGTTAACACAGTATCAGACTGAGAATCATCATTTTGACTCTAGCGACAAACAGAATGTTCCATACAGTATCCTGTTTTTATTACCGTACTGAACCATGGGAATATGTGAGAATGATATTCCGTTGGGACACATTGTCAGTATCACACCACCACAATAATACTTTCAACATAATATGACGTAGATAAAATGTGCACTGCTTAGTTTAATATTTAATAGCAATGAGGACACCGTTAAATATCTCATTAAGGACTGAATATTGAATGTAAATAAATAAGAATATGTTAGATAACCTTTTTTGTTTAGTTTTCGTACTGTCATACTGAACATATCATTTTTGTATCCTCACTGTTGTGATGAATGTAGATTTGACTTCAAAAACTGTGTAAATATATTTCAGTGATAATTACATTTGAATTATGTTGACTTTTGATTTGTACTTTTTGACAAAAGACATTGTGATTATTTTTATATTTAGCTACATCTATCTATGTTCCTTATTTAACTATGGTTGCAGGGTTATATGCCTTATCTAACTAAGTAATTTTATCGCCTTTAAGGTAATGGGGAAACGATTGTTGTCTTCTCAAAATCATTCGCAATACGGTCAGACGTAGATGCTTAGATAAGAAAAGCAGGTGGTTTTCCCTACTCAGAGTTGACCGACACGCCCATCTTCGCATAGTTCAGAATGAGTAAATCAGAAGAAAAACAAGATATGGGAGTCATCAATGAATTTATGGACTGTAAATATCGACCATGAGATGAATCTAATAAAATAATTAAACTAGTTGGCTCCATGCCCCGAGTAATATGGCTCAAAATCAATTATAGTGGTTCAAATACATCCATATCTTCATTTAGATCATGCTGTCAGATATATTTTTATCGTTTCTGTCTGCTTACCACTCTGCTTAATGACTCCTTATCACTTATGATATTATCATTCATGCTCTTATTTTAGTGTAGTATTTTAAACGATTACGCAATAATGCCAAACTCTGTGCTGATTACAACATGTCTACCAATACAGAGTAGGAATTCGCCAGAACAATATATTCATGAGCTGACATCAGTTAGAGAACGACTGGAAAACCTGGAGGTACTGGACACCTGTTTCGTCCTATTTTGGGACTCTTCAGCAGTACGCACCCACCTCCTCCTTTATGGTTGTGAGACCTGGCCACTGAGAGTGGAAGACATGAAAAGACTAGCTGTCTTTGATCATAGGTGCCTGCGCTCTATTTCCCGTGTAAAGTGGCATAATAAGGTGAGCAACATTGAGGTTAGGCGTCGAGTTCTAGGTAAAGAGGGGAAATCAATCGACGAAGTCGTGAAGTTACAAAGACTGAGATGGTTAGGACATGTGTTACGTATCCCAAGCCGTCGCCTCCCTCGACAATGGGCAATGTTAGCGGATATAGGGTCAGGCTGGAAAAAAGCTAGCGGCGGTCAAACAAAAACTTGGCACCAGTCAGTGAAATCCACAACAGTTGGTCTAAGCCACGTAGAAAGGTGTAGACTTCCAGGCTGGGGTCCTCGGGACGGTAAAAATCTATGGTTGGAAACAATTGGTGACATGGCTCAAAACCGTTCTCAGTGGCTCAGATGCATCCACTCCCTGTGACTCATGATCTCCAATGAAACTGTTTTGTTTTTCTTTATTACTCCTTTGTCTCACACCTCTGCTCACTGTTTCTATTATGCATTTCTTGTACTTTCTTCTCTTGCTTCGCGTGCTACACGGAGTGTGGCGACTTGAACTTCCGCACATTTGTGCAAAGTTCTATGTCGAAAACAGACAGACGCACCCACCGGGTTAGAAACAAGTACTCCCAGATTTTCCGCTGGTTCTTTAACTGATGTCAACTCATGACGAAATCCTCCAACCAATCAAACAAATCCGTACAAAACCATTACTTGAGAAGAATATCTGACATGATTTTGTTTTACTGTTTTTTGACAATACCTTCCTGAAGTTTATATAGTGCTTCAAATTTTTACGTCAACGTCATCATCATTTCCAGTTTACAGTTGTAATTGATAAACTGAAGTCTTATCTCCTGTATGTTTGTGGTTTAATAATAGTGCCTAAATGTATCCTTGAATATAGCGAAGCTCTCATGTCTCGGAGATCCAAAAGTATCAGTTTGTTTTGAGTCTAAGACAACTAAATTTCCGATATGGGCTTTTAGGCATTTAATAATTGAATGCAACAGATATTTATTATACAGGATGAATTGATTTAATTCGACTGAGTTTTTATTATCCATTTACACCTTGAACCAAATATGCTAAACTAAACATTTTTGTTACAGTCCAATTTTAAGTGAAACTTTTCGATACAATAAATTACTTCAGCCAAGTAAATGTTAACATCCCAAATGGTGACATTCATTCATGTAATTGGCTATTTTTACGATCGAAATTGAATAACACTCAGTTTTAAAAGTGATTAGTGTTCCAAATTCTAAAATTGTATTCAAATAGAAAATGATTCTGTCGAAATGCGGTATTATAAGTGAAAGGTATATTGATGAAGCGGTTAAAATCATGTTTCATTCCAATGTGTTGATGGAAAGTGAACTATATGAAGAGAAACAAAAAAGTAGAGAGATTTATTAATATTTACCACCGAGACATCTTTTTTTTTAGACAATCAAAGACAAATGCAGCGAAAAAAATTTTCTCTATTGACGAAATCATCTCCAGAGGCTGTACAGTCGTATTTATACTTACAAAACTATATAGTAGTCTATCATTGAGTAATAGGGGTGACATAATTCGTATAATTACCCGGAAGTGGCTTCAGAAGTAAAAAAATAAGTTGTAAATTACGTGGTACTCAATGGCACAAAGTTAGAAATTTGATAAGGTTAAAATTGCTTTTGAGTGGGAACAAAGGTAGTTAAGTGTCAATTTAACAAGTGTGAAGAGGGTGTGAAAATGTAAAAAGGAGCATATGAGAGTGATAATAGTGAATTAATTATTAAAGCAAAAGTAAACTAAAAGTCAAATTAAAAAAGAAAATCAAAATTTTTACAGGGAACGATTAGTGAAGAGGTTAAGACCAAGGTAGAATAAGAGACTGGATAAACTTTTTCTGTATACAGAGTTCAGGGTTGTATTGATGAATTGCCAACACCTCTGCCATACACAAAGGCCGAAACCTGATGCCCCTTGTACCATTTGGCCCCACCTTGTATTTGATCTTGAAAGACGACTCAGGTGGAGCTATGTGGCCTGAGTTCACCAAATGCTCGAGAATTGAGCTAGTAATTGTCTTGCATTGTCCTTTTGCTAACCATGCCGGATAATATTCGGAGATGCGTTTGGAAAGAGTGCACTTTGTGCAGGCAATATAACTAGCTTCACACGAGCAGGTGAATTTATAAACACACATTAAGGTGGCCGAAAGTCGCAGTTTATCCTTCACACATCCGTTGATCATTTGTCGGCTGCAGAAATTGATGCGTAGCTCAGCCGTAAAGTAGGCTTTCCCCAGTGATCTGCATAAGCGATTCTTCAGGATCTCAGCTGCAGTATCACCTTTAAATTCAACACTCATAAATAGCAGTTGCTTCGGCACCGTCTGGATTCCTTCAGGCTTTTCCCTTAACTTCATGTTTTTCTAGATAAATCTTGGCGGATATCCATTCTCTATTAGGACTTGTCTGAGTCGCCTCAGTTCCCCATCGATTGTATCACTGGAACATATCCTTCTTATTCTTGAGGATAAGAAGTGGATCAGGTTTCTCTTTCTTCTCAAAGGGACCCAATTATGAAAATTTGTGTACTGACCTTTCCATGTTGGTTTCCTGTAGATCGATCTTTGAAGAGAACCATCGGGTCTCCTTTTTAGAAAAACATCCAAATAATGGAATTCCAAGTTCATCTCTGATTCCGACGTGAACTTGATGGCATGATGGCAGCTGTTGAACTCTTCAGTTATCAATTCGATGCCAGTATTGTCGTCACATGTGATGAAAATATCATCTATTTAACTTTGATTCAAATGGAAAGTATCGTTAGTACGCCGTAACATAGTATTCTCTAAACTTGCCAAGAAGCAGTCTCCAGGTGAAGGGCCCAATGGTGACCCCATCGCTACTCCATCTGTTTATCTATAAAACGTGTTGTTTAACTTGAATTGGACATTCAAAGCGCACCTCAATAGTAGTTCCTTTAAGTAGTGGATCGGAACACACACGTCTACATTATTATGCTCAATGAATTTGCATATAAAGCAGATAGTTTCAGTTATAGGGACATTAGTGAAAAGTGACGTAACATCCATGGATATCATTTTCTTTTTTTTTCATGCACTTCATGGTAGTAATCTTGGTTTTTTCATTGACCAGCCCATGGTTAGATATTTTTTGACTTTTGAAAGAAGCTTATTTTGCATTCATGATTTATGAACTGTACTTACTGATGAGATTTAGTGATCATCTCCAATTTCATTCTCACTAATGTCTGTCAGTCTGTTTCGACATAGAACTTTGCACCGATGTGCAGCAGTTCAAGTTACCACACTTCATGTAGCATTAATGACACCTGAATATACTTGTCAGCTGAACTGATAATTTCACATTGACGTAAATAATAATAATAATGTGGTAAATGTTTTGAACGTAATTAATAACGATGATTATAATGATAACAAAATAATGATAATAAGGTTTATACAGGTGGCGATAAGAATAAAAAAGGTAGTAATATATGTATATATAGCCAATTCAATTAATAAATTAGGTCAAATCTTAAAAGTTACGTAATACTAAAGGTGAAGTGGACAGATAATCAGAGTTTAAATAAACATCATAAAAATACGAAGCATGTGAAAAATAAGAAAGGGTGGGAAGGTTTTAATTAAACTTTACCTAGGCAAACAAGGGAGAGACAAAGATAGAACAAACTTCTTTTGTGTGCAAAGATTAGGGTTGTCCTCTCGAATTCCCATAGCTTCGGCTAACTGTAAAAGACGGATTCGAATTCCGTTCGAAAGACTCGATGGGATGCGATAGATAACTTTGAAGGCACTATTTCTGTCCATTTGGTAACTGCTATCAATCAAATGAGCCAAATTAGAACTTCTTATAGATTTTATTTGACCTTTCCGAACCATGAAGGGAGATGCTTATTAATGCGTTTGTTAAGCTGTCCAGTTGTTCGCCCTACATAGCTCTCTCCACAGGAGCAACTAAATTTATGGATACACATAGAAGTAGCACAGCTAGGTAGCTTGTCTTTCACTTGAGCAATCAAAATTGGTTGGCTGGAGAATGACAAACAAAGGGTGGTGGCAGTATAAGTCCGTTTTATCGCTCCCGATAATCTCAGATATAAGACTTCGCTAGCCACGTCCCCATTAAATTGCAGTTTGATGAACAGTTATTTCTTTTCAACTGTTGTCAGTTTCTCCTTATTGTACTTGGTGTTCATGTGTATCCTTACAAATCTACTAGGATAACCCATTTGAACCAGCGTATTTTGGATGTATCCTTACTCATTTTGTAGGGAATCATCTTTACAGATGCGTCTTGCTCTTTTCGTGTGGCATCTTACCAAACTGACTTTAATTGGATTGGTACAAAACTGAGGAAATGTGTATACTGTCCTACAGATGTAGGTTTTTTATAGACATCTCTCTTGAGTGAACTATCCTCTCTTCTGCTCATTTGGACGCCAAGGAAATGTAGTCTACCATCCTGTTCTTCTTCACAAGTGAAGATGAGCGATGTATGTGCATCATTAAATTTTATTAACATTTCATTCTTATCAGCTTTAACATCAAGAATAATAAACGTATCATCAACATAGCGAAAATAAGAATCAGTTTTATCTATTACTTGCTTCAATGGACCATTTTCAACCTTAGCAAGGAAGAAGTCTGCCAAAATTGGCCCCAATGGAGAACCCATGGTAATGCCGTCGATTTGTCTGTAATAAAGGTTGTTGAATGTGAAGTATACATTCATAGTACTTGAACGTTTCTCACTTTTATTCTACCTGAAAAAACTTGGTTTTAGATTGATACACTTGGTTTTTATGTTTTTTTATTTAGATGACAAATAATTGATGATGTGATTACTATTAAGGAAGATGATTTAGTTGGATGTATAATGAGATGTTGTAAATTTGACGACTGAGTGTTAGTTTTGAATGTAAAAGAATAATTTTTAAGGCATAATTTGACATGAAGTTGGTCTTAAAAATATTTAAAAATTACTAAAACAAAAAGTAATGATCCTATACCGCCAAACTAATGAAAAGAAGAATTCATTGTTACTTGAATAATAATAATAATATGATTTGTCAAGAGATTTTGTACTATAATCATTAATGGTCAGCAAGGAGGGTAAGCTTATTGCCGAGCGTTGTGGATTAATGTTTTCCCTAGTATCAGATGACTGAAAATAATAGGTAATTGTAGGTGTAATATTAACTGACATCTGATGAGTGATTCTATTACATCGTATAATCATCATTAAACAAATCAGTATGGATATTTTGAGCTGCAATTCACGTGGATACAATGGCCTATCTTTTCTGGACCTGTACACTTATTGATGTATATACAAAGCATAATTCATGCTAGCTGCTTTCAGTTTTTTGACTTTGGTTCCGATAAAAACTTTCCCACAAGTTTGATGTAAGCAATTATCACTAATTTTAATCCAAAAATATGTTTTTTTTAAATTTCCACAACATTCATTACTTCGGCATTTTTTTTCTAATCGTAGTCAGGTGTTGAAGTACCCGTGAACCCAGATCTTATCCCCAAAACTCTGTTTTCAGCTTCAATAGAATGGAGTTCTTACAAGGTTAGTCTAGATTTATAAACCTCAGTAAACTGTGATACTTGTGCTTGTGATGCTTTCTTCCATACACTCATAAAAACCGCTGAGTATTTCTGTGAATATAACAGAAAACATGAGTGTTGGGCATATCGCAGGGATAGAGAACTGAACAAAATGAATACAAATAAACTAATTTACAAGTCAAGATATAATTCTTCAGAGAAGTGCAACAATTCAAGCTGTCACACTTCGAAAAGTATAAATGATAAAGTAAAATAGACATTTATGAATAGGAAAATAGTTTCACGATGCGTTGTAAAGGTGTTCTGAATTTTGAAGATAACGAGGAGTGAGTTTATCTTTAGCCAAATTAATAATAACGATCTATAAACCTTGTTTTTTAACATTCCTAGGAACCCAGCTTGACACTCTACATCTTTATACCTGATTCAGACTAATAGTTAGTCACTTCATAGGGTTTCGGTATGTTTTACTGTGATCACCCCTAACTCTTTTTCAACTTAGTTCTACTTCTGTCAGCACTGGTCATCAAAGGAGGTGATAGTTTGACATGTGACGGTAACCACAGTGGGTGAGACTGTGTAGTCTCATAAACTGACTTACAATTTCTGCATCACACTATACATGTAATCTGGAAATTAATTACCATTTAAGTCCATCTAGAATGAGGGATCAAACAACAACAATTGACTGTATTTGTTTATACAGAAAGTTTATTGCTCAAGTGCTCTGAGTGTATGAATGTAGCGAAAGCTCCCACTTAAAAATTAAAAAGCAACAACACTAACACCAAAATGAGCAAAGAATAATTTACTTTTCAATCAAACCATCGTCAACCAATAACTTCAACCCTAAACGATGTTACTCTGAGAGAGAACTATTTTCTGATATAAGTATGAAACTTGGACACTGTGGAAGTGTATAACTCCATTATGGATAAGATTTTATTTTGATAAATCACACAGTGTTGTACAGTAATATTAACTGATACTGTACAACACTGTGTGATTTATCAAAATAAAATCTTATCCATAATGGAGAACTATTTTCTATTAATTATATTACTAGTCCAGGAATACTGGATTAATCGTCAACATCTAATGATTATCAATAGACTGAGTTGGGTAATTTTCACTATAGAATATTCACAATTTGGCATTTTCGATTCCCTTAGATTTTGTTAATCTCCCATAAATATTTTACTTTCTGTTCAGTGTTTGACTACTTAGTATATTGTCTTAATTAATTACGGTATTATAGTGGTTATTATTACTGTTTCCTTTAGTTCCTCGAGGAACATAAGGCTTCAGCCGCGCGTCTCCATTGCGTCTGGTTTTCTGCTAGAGTTTTCACCTGGCTCCAAGTCTGCCCACATGCTTTCATCTCCTCTTCACATGACCTCCTCCAAGTCACCCTTGCACTGACGACCAACTCGCCGCTTCCCTTTCGGGTTCCACTCGAGCAATGGCTTGTCTAGTGATGTCACTAGTGATGGTTTCCTCAGGGTATGGCCAATCCATCTTCCTGCCCATTTGTTGCACTATTATAGTGGTTGTGACAAAACAATTGTTAGTTTTCATGAACGGTGTTCAATTTTCAGGGCAAAGAAAACTGTTCCTGTATCAACCTATTCTTTTATCAAAGTGACTAGCCTAATGGATTGATTATTTACAAACTTGATAATATCATTGCCAAAGTGATCACAAAGAAACTCTCTAGCTACTATGTTGTGTACACTTGTACAAACGTAGATAGGAATGATCGGAAAACTAGCAAATAATTAAAAAAAATCCTTGGAAATGTTTCGTTTATGGAATTCGACGAATGATGATCAAGAGCTTCGAACAACCATCTGTTCTTTGTATAGGAACACTAGTGTCGCCTGAATGGATAGGTTTTTTTAAACTTACAGATTACTTCCTGCCTACTTACTTCATATGCATTGTCAATTATGCACGAGTCCTAACACTGGGTCATTCATTGTTCAACTATTGGAGAATAACCTAACAAGGTAAAAATTACATCAACAAATAATATCCACAACTTTATAAGATTTAGGATGCTATAGTGTTTACTTTGTCTGTGCATAACTTAATGTTTTCGCTTGCCGCTAAATGTCAAGTCTGGTCTTAGACTAGCATATGTTTAACACACAATGGACAACAGTTTCGGGATTGTTTTCATTGATTTATATTACTTGTTTTTATTCATCTGACACTTGTTGAGTGAATGCATTCTTTTCATTTCTTTCACTTAGTCCTGGGATATACATACAATAACTATGAACTATATGAAACTACTCCTTGGTTTGCTTTATGAAGGTATAAAATTCATTTTTTTTAAAATTAATATTATTCAGAATGCTATTACTAATTTAGAATGCCCCTCATATTTGTAATATGCTTTGTAATTATTTATGCAAAAAGCTAATTTCTATGTAAAACGGTTAGTTTTTGCTTACCAGATTAAAATCATACTACTTGGTAAGCCTGTTAAAACCGTTGTGTGTCAGCTGTTCGGTGATGGAATCTGTGGCTCATTTTTGTCTCATTCGGTACTTATCATCCTGATATACATTTATGTCAATATATAATCACATTACAATAGTGACTCTTATCGTTTCAGCGGCTAAGTCATTATTCATTGGAATACTGAGCGTCAGTACCAATAGGACTAAATTGCCTGGAATTCTAATGAGAACTCGTGACCAGTGGGGGATCCACGAGGTTGAGTGTGAGAATTAATACTCTCCAATGACACTGACCGGCGGTGGCGTTATATATCATTAACTGACAGAGGTTAGAATCCATTGGCCATTCATTGGATTCCGTCTCAGTGTCTGAATGGCCGACGGGCTCACCTCATAACTTGAAGATCCTGGGTCATGGGTTAATACTGTTGAATGGTCCCCAGCCAAAACAAAAAGTCTGTCCAGTAATCCCTGGATTTTAATACTGCTCTAACTAATATCATTCAGTTAACTAGCTTTAAGTTCCATATTACATTACTTTTCTCAAAAAGTATTCAGCAATACAGTTTTATTTTCTGGACGTTGCATGTATAATTTGTTGCTCATAATCATATCAACGTGATGTAATTATTAGATACGCCGATTAGAGTAATCTAATATAGAGTCACCAATCGATTCGGTTCATTACAATTACCAACAGGGAATTCGTGGTTCTAACAAATAGGAAGCATAATGTGTTTAGACGAAACTAACTGTTTAACAAACTCTTATCATCTTGAAAAATTTGTAATAATCCGCATTTGCTTATTCTTAATTTTGATCTTGCTGCCGACCCTAATTTACTTTAGTAGTAGTATTTAGTAGTTGATAATCAATTTTGAATAATATATTTCTCATTCGTCTTAGTTGATGAGCGTTTGCAATTTGATCACATGTCATAAAATAACGAAAGCTGGCTTGACTTATACAGATGGTTCACGAGGTAGCATAACTGATATAACTTGTGTTGATCTCAGTTTATTGGTGGTGCTTGCATTGTTATGGTAGGCTACTGTCAGCGTTGATAGAGTGTGAGAGCTGCATAGGTAGCTCCCTTTGGATTATTAGTGTGAATCATTTAGTGTTAAAAGGGGTTATTCACTTGTTGTTAAGTCTCTAAGTGTAATACTTAGTAGTGGGTTGCAATCTCTGGAAGAGTAGGCCCTTCCACAAGATTACATATATGAATTGAAAACGATTTCAGGATCTACAGCTTCCTGTTTCACTGTGTCTTAACTCCCAGGACCACTGTATATCTTATAGAAGGTTTCGTTGTGAAGTATATTAAAATAAAAATGTATCTCACTTCCAATATTTCTTGTTGAATGGAAATGAACAAAATATTATTCGAGAAATATAGATGTTTATTAATATAGCTTATTTTCTTTTTGTATAATATAATTTAGAGTAGTATTTCTATGAGAAACTTTAACATGTGATTCGCAAACAAGTACTTAAGTAATAATAAGGCCTAATATATAACCTCAATTCTTTAGTCAGTCTATAATCGGTGTATGCGGAAACCAGATTGTAACTTTTAGTCATGTCTTGGCAGAACTATTATTACTTAGCACCATCCTTCATTTCACACTTCCATTATTGATTGGATGTGTGTTAATCATTAGTAAATGGTGTTAGTGATCAACCTGGTACTGGAGTATAATAGCAGAAAACCTTTTTGTAGGATATTTAGCACCTCTAAGGAGCTGTATAATTTTGTTGTAGGAAGAAAGGATTTAAAACAGACAGCAGATATTAATAAAGCAGGATTTAATTAGTTCATCAAAATTTTATTAAAGTCTGCTAGGTGAATACTATACATATCATATTGTCTCCATTGTGTAAAATATATAAACAAAAGACCAAAAAGAATAGTAATAACGAAGAACGAAGTTTTATTGGATACTGTGAATCCCAAGGAGTAGATGCATCTGCACCATTGAGAACGATTTTGAGCCATGTCACCAATTGTCTCTAGCCATTGATTTTTACCGTCCCGGGGACCCCAACCAGGAAGTCTAAACCTTCTTACGTGGCTTAAACTAACTTTTGTGGGTTGCATGACTGATGCCATGTTTTGGTTTGACAACCACTGGCTCTTTTCCAACCTGACCCTATGTCAGTGCCCTCACACATCCACTTGGAGATTAGGCTAAAAAGTCTGGTACCTGTGTGAACTGTCTTCTTCATGCTGCTTTACTCTGTAGTATTTTCATAACTTGGAGAAAAAATGATATTATACGTGTTTGTCTTTTATCCACGTACGCATACCTGCAACTTGCACGAATTCTAATAGAAACAATGTGATATTTGACAAAAGTCCGAATATATGTTGTGGATGAATTTAGTCTATCCACAGATTGAAAGAAACGTAGGCGAACCTTTGTTATACGAGTTAGGAGAGCGGTAAGTTGTAGTCACTTAATAAAACTGTGTCTCGACAACCGTGTATTCGTATCTGACACTGATTCTGGACATTCAGAAGAAAATCGTCTGACTTGGTAGGCGTATAACTCAACCCTTTTGTAAACCGGATGGTAACAAATATAATTCGGGGGACATTTGTTTAGCTAGTGACCATATAATGATTCCTTTGTGACTATATCTGTGCTTCAAGTATGCAATGAGATAACAATCAAAAGACTTTTCAGTTATAAACGAACAAAATGTCATTCTAGTAACGGTGCACAGCGGTTAATAATGAAAGCAACACTAGTTGAGCGTTTAGGCACATTAAACTTCTAGCGTTAAGACGACAGCAAGTTTAAATCGAAGAAAACAGGTCGCATACAGTCTATTATACAGTAGCTGGTAGAGTACAAAGTTAATTCTTTTGTTACATGACAACGTCAACTCTACTAATACTTAAACATGCATTTTAATAATTTAGACATGTAATTAAAAATGTCTTCCATTGAAGATGTTGTTTATTGCGAAAATTAGATTTTTAAATTTACTAATTCATCTTTTATTCAAATGACAATAAACGCTTATATATGTCTTAAGATTTTGTTGATTAATTTTATCGGTAATAATTTTACTAATTTATGTTTACAAATCATAATTTAGGTGCTGGCGGATTGTTGTTACACTGTGTTTCTGGATGGGATCGTACACCATTGTTTATTTGTCTTTTACGCTGTCTATTATGGGCAGATGATTTAATGCATTCTAGTCTCAAACCAATTCAAATGTTATATCTGACTTTGGGTTATGATTGGTTTTTATTTGGTCATAAATTACAAACACGTATGGAGTTAGGAGAAGAGATATTACGATTTACATTCCAGTTTATCAGTGAAATGGCGAATTGTACAGATTTATCACTGCGTAAAGTGTAAGTTTCAAGCCTGACTATTATTATTATTAGTATTGTTATTCGTCTCTGAGCTGTGCTTTGAGTGCTCAAACTAGGTCATTGGTTTGATACCCCTCTAGGTTTAGACAGCCAGTAGTTTACACAATAGGTTACATACATACATACATACATACATACATACATACATACATACATACATACATACATACATACATACATACATACATACATACATACATACATACATACATACATACATACATACATACATACATACATACATACATACATACATACATACATACATACATACATACATACATACATACATACATACATACATACATACATACATACATACATACATACATACATACATACATACATACATACATACATACATACATACATACATACATACATACATACATACATACATACATACATACATACATACATACATACATACATACATATGGAAATAGTTTTTGAGTAGCGTTATTTGACTTTACTGTTCATTGCATTTTAAAAATATTGTTGTGTCTTATCGATTAAGCGTACCTTTTGTTTAGTCTAACCTTCTACGGTTTTCATTTTGCAGGTATGACATTCACGTTACAGCTGACTCTAAAAATTCAGGTAATCGCCTATTTTTTATGAGCTGTTTGTAAAGTGATTATAAAGGTCTTACTTTATCTTCAATGTGTGACAATTTCATTTTTATTCTGTTAAAGCACCAAAAAGGGCTATTGATATTGAAGCCAAGGTATGTTTTCAAGTTATCAAAGCGCTATTCGCATAGATACAGGTTTTATATTCTCTAACCAATCATCGAGCCTGTGATTTTGGCATACAATAAACGACATGAAATAGAATGTTCAAATATGCATAGTATTCTGTTGTTAACACAGTATCGAACTGTGAGAATCATATTTGGACTCTAGAATCGAACAGAATGCTCAAATAGGTGTATTGTATTCTGTTTCTAATGCCGAATTGAACTGTAGGAATGGTATTCTGACTCTAGTAACAAATGGAATGTTCCAATATACATATAGTATCCTGTTGTGCGAATATGTGAGAATGATATTCCGTTGGGACACATTGTCTGTATCACACCACCATACTATTGCATATTTTGAATTTCTAGAAAAAACAAGTAATTTCAATACTAGTGAACTGATATCATTTATATAACCAAATAAAATTGTTAATACAACTCGTTATTAGACAACACCCCATGACGAATTTAAATGAGGTCATTTTGCAAGGTTGTAGCTAATAAGTTTTTTCTAACTAAACTAAACAACACAACTTAAAGACCAACTCGAAAACAAGTTGAAATTTGTTGGTTATGGAGATAATCACTTATCCTTCCTAGTGAATTTGCAGAAATTGGAAAACACTGGCCGGTTTAAGAGTGAATTTTTGATGTGCCAGTATGAAAACCCAGCGATTTCTGACTTAGTCCCTCGTATGACATTCAGCGTGTATTGCTAAGATGTTTCAATGCATACAGAAATGAGTTCGTGGTTCCCTTTCCTTAGTTATATTTTTTAATGATATGACATGAGTACTATACTGATACAAGTATGATATCGTATACTTAGCGTAGTGTCGTAGTCTGATGAGTTGTGAATCTTCTTGTATATGAAGTGATTTCACTAAATTATGTTCATCTACCATTTCTATTGCGTAATTATTTATTGTTTAAATAATTTTCTTGAAATTTAATTATTCAGATTCAGATGATTCACCGTTTATGTAAGTTTCACAGTGTTGGTAGTTCTGTTTGCATAATGTTGTTCTAGCTTTTTTGTTCATCTATGCACTTTCAAACTGTCTTTCTTAAATTTGCATGCAACTTAAATATCTCATTGTGATTCGGGGATATTATCGAACAACTTTCTCTCTTTTGCTTCGTCTTTCCTGGAGTGTACGATAATCTCAACGTCACGTTACATCACACCAAACCCATTTTTATCAGGTCACTTGAAGAATCCGTTACCTCTTCACTTTTCGGTTTTAAAAATGTGAACCACTAGTTTCCAGCATAATCATTAGATGACAGCTTGCTTGTTTTAACCTATATAGATACTCTATTCGGTCTTTTGTGATGATTTTTGTACATTTTTCTGAGTATTGAACTATAACAAAATAATAACCATTCACTGCACTGTGGTTCTCTATTCTTCTTTAAATAATATCTCTCCTAGATGTAAAGTATCATAAAGTTTGGATTTGTTTTGAAATTATACTGAAATAAATAACAAGGTCTTATATTTATTAAACTTAGTAAGATTAACCGTCAAGTTTTATCACATCCCCTATAGGTATGCATATGATAACCATACTTCACTGCTGAATTATTTATACTGTCATCGGTTGTTTCAACTATTTATTGTTATTGTTTATTGTTCCCTTAGGTTCCAAGTAGGACATAGGTCTTCAACAGCAGATCTCCACTTCTCCCTATTATCTACGGTCCTCTCCAACTGGCCTTACAAATGCCCATAGTCTCTCATCTCTTCCTTGTCACTCTCGAACGCCCAACTCGTTGTTTCCCATTCGGATTACACTGACGATATGGCCTGGAGCACGATGTCATCCACCGGTTTCCTCAGAGTGTATCTGATCCATCTCCATTTCCTCCTACATATTTGTTGAGCAAAAGGCTCTTGATTGATTCGTTCCCAGAGTTCCTTTTAGCCAATCCTCTCTGGCCATTCGATATTCAACATGGAGCAAAGGCAGCTTTGACGAAAGTTTGCAACCTATTGAAAATGCTTTTCGTAACGCGCATGTCAAGTTCATGACCCATATAGAAGAACCGACTTGACATTGGTGTTGCAAATCCGAATCTTGTTCCTTATCTTGGGTTCAGAAGACTTCCAAACCGATTTCAGGGTGACGAAGATCTACCTTTCCTTTCCGATCCTGGTTTTGACATCTCCATGTTTCCTGTCTGTAGTTAAAACGATTTTGCCTGGATAATTGAGGGAAGTTACCTCTTTCAAATTTCTTCGGTTGGTAGTGAGTGGTGCTTGTTGTTGTTGGTTGGTTATCTCTATCACGTCCGTCTTCTTTATATATTCACTTGAATTCCGTATTTGCTGCTTCTTCTGTTAAATTATTGGTTTTCACCCGTAAGTCTTCCAGTTTGTATGATATTAGACATAAACCATCTGCGAAGTCTAGGTTTTCTGGAGTCTACTTATCGTTCCAACGTACCCCTGTCTTCCCGATCCCCACAATCTGATACAGTCCACCACAATTAGGAATACCATCGGTGGTGACAGACGGCTAGTTTGTCTTACTCCTATCTTCACTTCAAAGTCTTCTCCAAGTTTTCAGTTCTAGACCAACTGACACGTGGCATTATCAAATAGCCAGCTGTTGGATGTGGTTGATAAATATTTGGGCACTGCACACCGTAGTGTTGAGGCAGTTTCCAAATTACTTTTCGGTCAACGCTGTCTACCGAAGGCTTTTTAGAAGTTGATAAAATTAAGGTAGAGAGAGTTTTGACTACCATTCTATGTTTTGTTCTGTGATGTTGATGCATAGAGTTGCAATTTAACCAGCACATTATTATTTGCCTCCTCTGAATCCAGCTTGTTCTAGTTTGTGGCGCTGGCAGGGTTCTGCATCCAGGACATCTTTTGTTCGCCCTCTGTAGGATTGCGTGACTTAGTATTTTACTTGGCTTAGACAAAGGCATTATTCCACGCTGGTTCTTGTGAAGGCCTAGGTCGCCCTTGCTTAGTAGTTTGATAAGATAACCAATCAGTAAGTATTTTTCCTTCCCTTCAAACTTTTTGCAGCTGTGGCTTCAGCTTATCTGTTGCAGTCTCTGGATCCGTTTTCAGTGCTTTTGGAGGAATTCCCTTTGGTACTGATTCCTTCTCGGTTTTCTTTAGCCTGACTACACTTAAGGCTTCTGCTTTTTTTGGTGGATTGGTGTCCACGGGCAGGTTTGTGGCTGTTCTAATTATATGGCTGTTTTAATTCTTTTTTACTGATGAGCAATCCAAATAATCAAAACTAATTACTTCTATCAAATGGACATTGGTGAATATAGAAGACACACTAATAGACTTATTGAGCTTTTATTTTTCTATTCTCCCCACAAACTTAGAAGAGTCTTTCACTCCGTGTTTTACAATGTTCTCTTGTTGCTGTACCAGTCCTTTCGTAGTTTCATAGTATAGTTAGCTGAACTTATCATAGATAGAATCAAAGAATTAATAGTGAACAATACACTGATAATATCCTTGGATATATCTTCTTTATTCACCAATATGGCTTTGATGATAACAGTAGGTCTTATATGTAAAAGACTGATAAATGAAAATATAGAGATTCATATTTCTGTGTCTTAAAGGAGGGATCTCCGTTTAGAAATCACTCTGAACATACGTTTTTTGTCTAATAAATATTAGGTATTTGTTTAAATTGCTAAATACTATCAACATGCGTGATAACCTGATTAAATGACAACCATCATAAAAATTCTATGCCTCAACTGGTTAATCCCGTAATAAATGGAGCAACTGAGATGAATTGCAATCAATGTGTATTTTGGTTACAGGAATTCATTATGAGCTGGCATCGGTTAGAAAACTATTGGAAAGCCTTCAGGGAGTAGTGGACAGCTGTTTCGTCCTAGTTTGGAACTCATCAGAAGTACCCACCCAACGAAGTTCGAATTCAGGACCTTCTAGTTACATGGCCAGCGATGTCGTAGACCATTAAGCCACTGGGACCCGATCCAATGACTGGCCCATGAATCTTAACTTCTGCCAATTCATGACAAAGCGTGACCACTAGTCAATGTCTTCGGCGAGTATTTGTCATCACTTCTGACCTTCTGCACACTACTGGTCACGAATCCTCTTAGAACCCCAGGTAACTAGCGACTGGATAGGGCCAGTCGTTAGAGACCAATAGTGGCTTTCCAATAGTTCTCTTACCGATGCCAGTTCATGATAAAACCCTGTAATCAATCAATCAAATCCCTACAAACCAATACTTGAATATCAATGTATATTTTGTTTATTCAGTCGTCGCAACCAATATCCAACTTAATTCAATGGAATATGCATATCGGACTAGAGGGGGGAAAAAACTTTTTTACGCACTTCAAATAATGAAAGAAACCACAAGATTATGAAATTCAGTGGAATAATTTCATGCTTAAAACTGAACAATAGTTCATATTTGTTTTTAACAAAATTTCTAGCAATTAATCCATAAGGTGATCAACAGATTCAGAAAAATTACTATTTATAAGCAATTTAACAAACATTTCTTAACAAAAAAATATTCTATGACAGCCATTCACTGAATATCATGTAAAAAATGAAACTCAGAAATAAATAGGAAAAATAATCGGATTAAGTTGATGCTTGAATAAACAAAGAAAACCAATTGAACGTAGTTGATTACTAAGCATCGTTTGTGTATTGTTGAGCTTGTTTCAAGTTCATGTGAAGATAAAGTCAATAAATCATCTAATTTAAGCATCCTTCCATATTACGATGACCAAAATACTCACATTTCAGGTAGTCGAAAAGTACTCATGCTTTAGTCAGTAATATTTTGTAGGTAGCATTGATCGATAGTAGTTGGTGATGACGTTTCGTGTAATTTTATTTCATTAGTGCTCTTACATAACATCTGTAATGAGGGACCTCAGTGTCTGATAAAATGAACTACAGATACCATAACGATATCACTTAGCAACCTGCTATTTGCTCCAAATCATCATATAACTAAAATATTAAGATCAAGCGGAGTAGTTTTAATAAACCCTACTTCTTATCTTTGCTCTTCAAAAATGTTATATATATATATATATATATATATATATATATATATATATATATATAGGCAACAACTTACTTTTCTGTTGTATGCACTCACTGGGATTTGGACACGGGACCTTACGGTCAGGCAAAGAGTCAACCGGAGCTAAGTGAACAGAATTGTTTTATTTAATAAAATCGTCTGATACTCACTAGCGACTGTCTGTATGTAGGAAGTCACCTAGAGTTTTGGTGGAAATTGGTAACCAGTGTGGTCCACCAGGTCAGGTAATAGGTCAGTTACTGCTCTCTAACATTGGCTGGTGGTTACGTTATATATCGCAAATTCGTAGAAGTTAGAATTCATGGACCACTGGATGGGGTTCCAATGGCTGAATGGTCTTAGAGCTCACTTTGTAACTGGAAAGTCCCGTGTTTGAATCCTGCTGAAGAGTCCCGAAATAGAACTAATCAATTGTCTAGTACTCCCTGTTTTTCGAACGGTCCTCTAACTGATGTCAGCTCGTAACCAAATTTGTAATCAATCAAATCCCTGCAAATCAATACTTGAAAACAGTTTATTGCTCTGCACTCTGTGTTGTAGCTAGAATGTCCTATTAAGCATCATTAATATTTCGTTTTATTGGAACACTGCAATGACACTGTGTGGTGATAATTTTTTTTATTTGTGTGAAGAACTGAATATTCTAGCATTTTTACCTCATGTTTTCTCTCTATTTAGTGACCTACGTTCTAGTGATGATTTACAACGTTTAAGACAATCACGATTGGAAGAGCTATCCACATTATTCTTTCAGTATTGGAATAAAGAACTAAGAGAGCATGTAAATCGGTTTAATGTCAACAATAAAAGCTCCGATATCAATGAATCTGTTACTTTGGATAAAAACACATGCAACACAAGAAAATCAATTTGTAAAGATGACACAATCTCTGAAAGTTCAAATAATCCAGAAAATAAAGATGAAACATTAACAGATGTAAATTATATGAATAGAAATCGGAGTAGTCGGTCTGGAAGTCAACAATCAATTGTTTACAAGGTATTTTAAAAAAAATTTAGTCATGCATTGTACTGTTTGAGTTGTAAATAACACCTTAATATAACTGTTTTTTTTTCTGAAGCGGCATTTCAGCATGTTCACTTGACTTTGGATCATTTGTGTATTACTTATTTTATCACCCAAAAATCAATAGTCATAGCGTGATTTATAATTTACATAGTCTTCATATTTGTTGTTACTCCTCACTTTTATCATTGGCCTGCTATTTTTAATAGTTTGGAAAGTCTGTGCGGTTTTCAGACGTTAAATTTTTTTTCTTTTTGCAGAGCTCTTTTTCCTTCTTAAAGTCTGTCATCCTCATCCTTCGCCCTTTGATACAGACATGCAAGTTTGACGAAAAACTCAAAATTCACTCTTTTAATGTATACCGTATATAGGAAATTGAAATACACTATCGGTGTTTAGTGCTGTAGTCTAGGTCTTCACTAGTTCTTTCAGAAAGCTCGTTTCACCTCCATCTATTTAGTGACCTCATGGTACCACTCTTAGTCGTTTTGTGTCGTTTGTGTGCTACTGCCTACATCTGAAATTTCGGTTGCCATAAGTGATTTGTCATACCTATCTAGCTGAAGGAACTTTATACATGTAGAGCTACAAGTAACACTGTATTGACATTGATATTGGATTTTTAAAGTCCAATGAATCTGTTCTGTGTGTGAATAAATAACTCCTAATTGTCAAGTATTGCTTTTGCAGGGATTTAGTTTGATTAGATGGAGGATTTCATCATGAGCTGACATCAGTTAGAGAACCACTGGAAAACGTGGGAGTACTGCACAGCTGTTTCATCCTAGTTTGGGGCTCTTCAGCAGTACTCATCCACCGGGGTTCAATCCCAGGACTTTCTGGTAACAAGAGTCCTAAACTAGGATGAAACAGCTGTGCAGTACTCCCAGGTTTTCCAGTGGTTCTCTAACTGATGTCAGCTCATGATGAAATTCTCCATCCAATCAAAATCCTAATTACTTAATTTCTAAAATGTGATGACTGCTGCTTACCCTCATATAACAATATACACCAAGTTCATCAATTTTTTTGTGCATTAGTCAGTACCCTAGGAGATGTAGTCTTGTTGGATGAAATATCATGGAGTTCTAGAATCAATGTTTAAAAGTGGTGCCGCAAAATCCATGTTTGTTGTAAAGTTATTTTCATTTGTAAATTTGAGCTAAGTCGTCAACCACATTATTTCTTATTTAGACTTAATATATCTTAAATGATGTCAGGTAATTTTCTATTGAACGTATTAGTTATTAGATTCTGTGTTTATTCTGTTGTTGTAGTAAATCCTTGGCTTCTAAGTTTTACATAAGCCAATAAATAAATAAAATAAATAAATGAAAGCCGTCGGTTACTTTTGGGATATTGTAAGTTTTCTGTGGTTCACGAAATTTTCGTTTTATTGTTGTTGTTGTAAGGTATTTGTAAACCTATTGGAAATTTTAATGCCTTCCCTTTCATTGTTTCCACTTCATCGGTTATTGTACTTATTACAAGGATTTTGTAAAGTAGCAAACGTCATTAAAGTACATGTTTTTTGCATTTGTATATTTGTACTTATACAGGTCAAATATTTTCAGCTCTTTGCATTAACCAACACATTACAGTGTGTTATTTTTTTTTCACATGTCCTAATTTACTATAATGTCTATGCACAGACTTATATATATATATATATATATATATATATATATATATATATATATATATATATTATACAGAAGAGTTGCAACACTTAACGTTTAGTATCACTTTATCCTGATTACACAACGTAAGAGCTATAGTGTAGCGATAACTCCAGTGAATTTTATAAAAGTTAGACATCAGGAGATATAAAGTAGTCAGAACACCAAGACCCATTTTGCAACTCGCCCCTAAGAAAGACATGTACATCAAGCTACCCTATATGGGGCATCATAGCAGCTTGATAACTAGACAAAGACTGAACGCTACTGTTAAAAGGACTTTTTATGCAGCTAACATCATAATAATAGAGAATGCAAAGCCATTATATCTATCTAAGCCCTTCGAACATGCGAAAAATGACGTTACATCCCACTGTTTTAACCAATTTGAATGTACGTGTGGACACACATACATAGGGAGGACTCATCGATCTCTGCAAGTAAGGGCTGGCTTCAGAGCATATTCCTAAATGGCTCCAAAAACAAATGGGATCTTCAGCACCTATTAACGGCGAGAATAGGAGACCTAGATCTTCCATTTCGAAACAAGTTATAGAGACAGAACATAAAATTTAAGTTAACAAATCTTTTAAACCTGTCTATAAAATGTGTTTGGAGCGTATCCTAAAGTTTGTAGAAGCCCCAGAAGTTAGAAAGTTTAAACCACCTTTATGCGTTCAAAAACAATTCGTCATCACACTAAACCTTCCTTGGTAAATTTTGTTTTGATACCATAGCAGATGTACTATTACCTCTACTATTTGGTTTAGTAGTCTTCATTGTTATTTTGACCTTGAATATGTCCTTTTAACTAGACATTTTTATCTTATTACGATAAAAGTACTCCGAGGTGTACCACATGTACTAATGCCAGGCAACCACCTCAAGTTGTTCCCAATGCGTTCAGGAAATCTGAGGTAGGCTCTTCTTTGTTTTTTCGGCGTATCTCGTTTAACAGTTAAATGTAAATTCATGTCCACCGTTAGAGATCATATGGGAAATATACCAGCCGAAGAGTACACGGAAATCACCTATGTTAGCTGGATTTATGTTCGTTAGAAAAGTATTTTTTTTCGCATAGCTCCTCTATTATTGATAAATTATTATCTTACAGCTTTGCTTTCACTGTTCACTAAATCTTTGTTCTCTTGAACACAAAAATATCCACTATCGCATTTTCACTAATTGGTCCCAGTTTTTTAGCTGGACATCTGGTGATCTCATGAATTGATAATTGTACCGTAAGTAAAATAGGTGTCTTTAGAATATTAGGCTTACGTAAGTTTGGTAAATCATACATAGAAAATTGTTGAGAATTTCATGGTCTTAGTTGACCATATTCTTCAAAAGTTCACAGAGCTTCTTTTTAACTTCGTGTTTTCGTCGGAATAACCATGACTCATCTGAAACTAACTTAACTCTGAGTACATATTAAACTTTATTTATTATAATCATACTGTAATCCTGGTTTGATCTTACTTACTTTACTTTACTTCGGCTATCTCCTACGGGAGGATGAGCCGGCTTCATGAACGTCTCGAATCATCGCTGCCCAGGCGCGGCAATTTGTAAGAGAGTTCATGAAGTTTCATGGGAATTTGGTACGAGTGATGTCCCCACCATCGCTCGGCCTTTTGCTTGAGAGTGCAGCTCTAGCCTTTACACAGCCAAGTGTGACCTACAAGGCAGTAGGAGTGGAGTAAGGAGTCCACTATCCATTGGCAGCCGGTGACCGGCGTTCGGTTCATACTCCTTTTTGAATGGGGCCAGACATCCAGGACATCCAACAAGCCCTTTGTCCATACGTCTGCCGGTGAGCTCCAGTGAGCTTCATACGCCAGTCGTTGGAGGTTTGGAATCAGGGTTTAGCCATCTCCCCTAGACCGTCATCCAATGGACAGTCAACCCGGTGGAGAGCGCCGGGCATCCGCTTTCGCCCTCTCACTTTGGTGAGAAACACCTCCGCCACGTGAAGGCAGTGAGTAGGACTTCCTCAGGAGAGGCTGTGTAAGACGCCCGGTCATATGGGAGCATTTCAAGAGGTGTGCGGAGGGGTGGCCAACCCGCAGTGCAAGGCACCCACCCCCGACCATCCTGAGGCTTTGGAGGCCCTGGTTTGTTCGAGGTATCACTAATGCTTTATTAATCACCAGGTTTTTAAATATCATTGTTTGATGTTGGACAGGAATCTGATTTGTTATAAGCTGTACGGAAAATATTCCATTCTAGTCTATATTTCAGTAGTCTTGCATAGTGCTTGTTATTCGAACTAGTATGATATAGCATTCTCTGTCTCACAGGAAGTGTATTACTTGACTGGAGTGTACACAAAATGTTACCTAATTACTGCACAAATGATGGAAAGTTCCACTTTCTTGATACTGCTATACAACGCCTAGAAGATGGTAGTCTACAGAAGTTAATTTACCGAAAACTGACATGGAACGGACAATGCTTACATTTTAATAGTTTTTCTCCAAATAACTATAAACGAGCACTAGTCGAGACTCTGTACCATGGGGCGAGAAAATGCTCTGCAGAGAAACTAGAGGAGGAATTTGCGATTCTCGAAAACGTGTTGAAAAACAACGGTTATCCTCAAAGATTCATTAACAGATATGGAAGATGTTAAGGCTCAAACATCAAACAAATCACATATGAAAAAAAGCCTGTTTTCATTCAAGTAGATTTTGAAGGTGAAAACATTGCAGCGATGGTCAACAGAAGAATGAGTACGTCAATAGCCAGAGCCTATCCTGCAGATAATTTGGTTCCCATCCATCGGACAATATGCTCTTCAGTGCAGTCAAAAGTTGATAGATACCCTTCTCATGTTAACTCCATCAGTGTGTACAAATTTACGTGTATCTGCGGGAGCATTTACATTGGTAGAACAGAAAGAAGGGCACACCTCCGGTTTTCTGAACATATGCTGAAAAGCTTACGTCTCAAGGGAACAAACTCTCATAGTAGCGCTATTACTAGACATCTTGATACGGATCATGAAGTGGGAATCGCGAAATCCTTTAAAATTATCAATAGACAAAGTAGTTCGATTCTCCTCAAGTTTGCCGAAGCAATTTCTATCAAAGGCTTGAAACCAGATTTACGTATTCTTTACCCTGGTAACTGGATGCCTTTATTCTTTCTTTCATTTTGATTATGTAGTCTTTGGCTCCCCCCTTTAACATAGTGTAATTTTGTTTGTCTCTTGTTTCCATGATTTTAGTTGAACTCAGTACATTGTTACCTAATTTATCAGTCATTCATCATCTTACGCATCTCTCGTCTTTATTGCATAATTCCTCTACCATTGTATGCATACATTTCTCTTGTTTAAACTTGAACTGCCTGTGTAAAAACTACATAAGCGAAATTTTCTGCGCACTGTTCAATAATTGCAGAACCTTCTGTCAGCTGACATAGTGAAAAATTCACAAGTATGTTAAAAATATTCTGTACATAAACCTCATAATTTATTTAGGCTATGAGCAGGTGATGAGAAGCCAACGAAATAAATGATGATACCATATTAGCTTGCACAAACCACTGTTGTACTTCCCTTTATTCAAACAAATAAACTCATCGTTCTGATTCAGGCAGTTGATTATTCCTGAAAAAGGCCATCGTTGTAAAATAACACACATTCACTAATATTAGTCAGTTTTTTTTTAAAATCACTGCTGACTTCATTTTCATATTTGTTTCCTTTAGTGTGTATTATTCTATTTCAACTAGATTGTTTGGACAGTTTGAAAGCATCAGATTTGCAATTTGCACAGTTCAAGAAGGTGAAATTACACTAATGTTTCTTTTAGAAATCAAAATTATTCAGTTCACAATATGCGATTTGCTTGATACCGTAAATGGTAATCAGGAAACCAAACAGAAATGCATAAAACTGTGCACCACGTAACTACGAATACTCATCTCAATCGATGAGTAGAGTAGAGTTTTTGACGCATTTGTGGTTTTGAAAACATCACTGGTTATAATGCTCAATTTAATAAGTAATTGACCGTTTTCGCCTTCTTATCATTCCTTTTTTATGTCTGTGTTTTTCCTTTCTCAATAATAGTTGGCTAGTTAGTTAATAAATGAGGTAACGCTTCAATCTGCATGTTTGCACTTGTGTCTCCATTTTCAAAAATCTCTAACAGTTTCATTCTTTTCTTGTATAAAAATAAACACATCGTATTGTAAAAGTCGTTTAGTAGTCGCTTGTGATTACCGCTCATTTTATTACACTTTTCTTCTTATCACTTCCTATTTTGGGTGAATTTATGATTTATTTACAAATGTATGTTTATTTACAAGTATCTGGGTTTCTTCCTCTTTTGCTGCACATTTTTTTTGATTACTAGACTATACCTTGTATAAAGTATTATGATTAAGAAACATCAACGCAGGGTTTTTGGTGTTTTCTTAATTCAGCTGACTGATTGATTCTATTTGATTATTTTATGCACAGTCAAGTATTTCGAGAATTTCCTTATTGTTTTTGGTCGGATGATTATCATTCACATTAACGAAAAACCAAAACTTTTTGACGTCTCCGAGATTTGAATGTTCGAAAGAATATTGGAGACAACTGGCCTACCGAATCTCAGTGTAGAAGTTTGCACAGAAGTATGACAGATCAAGCTGTCACACATACACACACACAAAGGAGAGGAGAAAATTCGAAAGTACTATAGATAAGCAGTAATATGAGGGAGATAGAATAAGTAACATGGAAAAATATATTAGGGTATCATGGATGCATCAGATCACAAAGAGTGAATTCATTTGCTCCACTGAGGACGATTTTAAGCTATATCTGCAATAGTCTCCACCCATCGGTCCTTAAATCCCCGAGGACATCAACCAGGCAGTATACGTCTCCCTACGTGGCATAAATGAAATTTCAAAGACTTCGTGGATTGATTGGTTTGACCACCCCTTAACACTTTTCCAACCTGCTCCTATATCAGTGTATATTGCTCGCTGAGGAAGGCGGTGGGTCGCCACGCACAATACGTCCTAGTACTTGCAATCAATGAAATGGGGACACTTTTCATTTTTCTTTAGTGGCTTGATTTTCTTTCATAATTTTCATTTCTCAATACCAGACCTGAATTGCACAAATAAATTATTATAAACTTTTTGGTGTGATGGTAATTACGACTGAGCAATCATAAAAACTGCACACTCGAAATCATTCATGTTTTCTTCGCTTGCCTCTATCTTCCGCCCTATTTTCCTGAAGAGGTGAATTCCTTTCGCATATTCTCATTTATATAAATTAAATCTCTTGATTTATCGTATGGCGTGATACTGTTATAATTAGTATTGTTCATTAAAGTAACTCTTCTCATCATTTTTATTCTGAATTCACCACACTGTACTTATTCTGTAGTATTAGTTTTCTTTCAAACGGTGTTGTCTGGGAAATGGTACGTTAAATAGTCCTATCATCGTCAATGTACGTATGCAGACAATATCATACTGTGTGGAATATTGTGAATACCTTTGAGTTTACCGAGAGACCATTGATATTATGATTTAATATCTACGGAAAATTTACGTAAAAAGATGAAACATGGACCAGATTTCACTACTTTCCTCTTGTATTTTATTTATGCGGTATTTCTTCAGTTATGTCAAGGTAATTTTAACTCGGAATTCTGGGTAAAGGCATTTCTCAACTTAATCTTTAAATATTTTCCCGCTTAGTTTAAACTTTATTTTAGTTTTAAATGCTGATGCATTTCCAAAATTCACCTGTATAAAAAGATTTATTGTCTTGTTTAAAATCAATTGATGTTCGATTTGAAAGAAAATTGTGTATGCATCTGGCGGATAATAGTAATAATAATAATATCATTGAGTTGTAAATAAAATGTTTGACACAATTTTATACACACAACGAGTTAACACATCTTCGTTTGTTTTCTTTTCAGATATCAAATGTTCTGACTTCCGCTGTTTCAGTTGTCACCACGAATTTAGTTTCATCAATATTACCGTCGGCATCTTCATCTTCCTCCGATTCAAATATTAACAGTAACAATAAAACGAAAATAAGAAAAGATTCAGTTACATAGAAGAAAGTTGTGCTTTTTGTTTCAGTACTATTTCTAAATTATATATATATATATATTTCTCTAATTATTGACATTTGGTTTTTTGAATGCAAATTATAATAATGAAGATGTTTCATGCAGATAAAGTAATCTATGATGGATCCTTCTTAAAGAACGAAAAATAAACTATATCATATATACACAGTATGCTGATGATTTGAGTATTGCTTTTTGAAAAACCTTATTTTTGTTTTCCTGAATAATTTGTTAATGTAGTTTTGTTTTCGCTTGTGTTTGTCATCATTCTTTTCGATTAGAGAATATTATGTTCATTTATTTAGCTCATATATATTTGTATTCGTACATAATTTGTTTGTTTGATTCAAAATTATTATTTAAATCCATGTGTAACTTGCTTTAATTACTACATACATATAAAGAAATATAAGGTAGTCAGGAGGGATTTTAATGTTTATGACATTGCATTGTCTGTTAACTGCGTTCAAGTGACTGATTATATGTATAACAAAGGTGAAAGTAGAAATTTAGTAAAATGCTAATCATAGTGGTGATAACTTGAGAGGCTTTCCGAGGTGGACACCAGGAAGGAGCAAATAAGTTTCAAATTCTTTTATTTATTCTGTTGTTCAGTCACTTTTGGTGTTATGCATTCCTCAGTAATTGGTGTATCCCGATAAAGTAATACGATTCAAAAACGTGCCGTTGATCATCACGAAACTCAAACTACCGATCTTTAGTGTTGTTTAATATTGTGTAGTAAGTAGTTTTTTCCGATATCGTTTTATTTTGATTTGCTGACAAATCAAATTCTCTTGCTGACGAAGTAATATTATCTTTATCTATGGGTGCATGTAAACATTTGAACATTTCTGTAGTTACAGAAAACTTATTCACTCTAATTCAGAAACATAATTGTGATCTCGTACAATTATTATTATTATTGCTCTCTTGGGCTCCTAGTGGAACATAGGGCTTCAACTTCACGTCTCCATTTGCTTCTGTCTTCTGCTGTACTTTTCATCTGCCTCCATGTTAGTCCATACTGTTTCAACTCCTCTTCACACGATCTCCTTCATGTCACCCTTGCACTGACGTCCCACACGCCGCTTCCCTTTCGGCCTGGTTCCACTCGAGGGCTTAACGCGCGATGTCTCCCAGAGGTCTCCTCAGCGAGTGTCCAATCCATCTCCACTTTCTCCTGCATATTTTTTGGGCGATTGGTTCTTGCTTTGTTTGTTCCCATAATTCCTTGTTGGTGATTCTTTCCGGCCATCTGATCTTCAGTATAGAGAGCGAAGACAGTTGTTAATAAAGGCTGGTCTGCAACAGGCTGTTGGAAATATTCTTTGTGACCCTTCAAGTTTCTGATCCGTATAGAAGAACTGACTGACTTGACGTTTGTATTGAAAATCCGACTGGATTTTGTTGTTGATGCTGAGTGACGAAGATTTCCAGATTGATTTCAGGTTGGTGAATGTGTTTCTCGCCTTCCCGATTCTCGCTCGATTTGACATCCTCGTCCGTTCCTCCTGTAGTTGAGACAATGCTCCCTAGATAAGTGAATGAAGTAACCTCTTTCAAATCCCTCCCGTTGATGGTGATTGACGCTGGATGTTGCTGCTGTTGTTGTTGTTGGTTGGTTATTTTCATCACCTCCGTCTTGTCTATGTTCACCTGGAGTCCTGTCTTCGCCTGCTGCTTCTTCGACCAGTTTGTCGGTTTTCGCTTGTAAGTCTTCGACTTTGTGTGACATCAAACATAAATCATCCACGCGCGAAATCCAGGTCTTCTAGGTTCTTCACGTCGGTCCAGGATATCCCTGTCTTCTCGTTTCCCACTGTCTGACGCATAATCCAGTCAGTCCACCACAATTAGGAATATCATTGGTGATAATAAGCACCCTTGTCTGACTCCTGTGTTTACTCCAAACGCCTCGCTGAGTTTTCCGTTGTGGATCACTTGACATGTGCCGTTGTCGTACAGCTGTTGAATAAGGTTGATGAATATTTGGGGTACACCGTAGTACTCGAGTAGTTTCCAAATTACTTCACGATCAACGCTGTCGAAGGCCTTCTCAAAGTCTATAAAGTTGAGGTAGAGGTTTGATCGCCATTCCATGCTTTGTTCTGTGATGATGCGTAGAGTTGCAATTTGGTCAGTACATGATTTGCCTTTCCTGAATCCAGCTTGTTCTGGTCGGAGTTCTGTCTCCAGTGCGTCCTTTATTCTCTCCAGGATGATGCGACTCAGGATTTTACTTGGCGTCGACAGGAGCATGATTCCTCGCCAGTTCTTGCAGAGTGGGTCCTAAGTCGCCCTTCTTTGGTAGTTTCACGAGGTAACCTTTCCTCCAGTCAGTAGGCACCTTTCCCTCCTTCCAGACCTTTTGCAATAATGGAGTCAGCATGTCTGCTGTAGTCTCTGGGTCCGCTTTCAGTGCTTCAGGGGGTATTCCATCTGGTCCGGCTGCTTTTCCAGCTTTCAGAAGCTTGATTGCGTTCAAGACTTCAGCTCTCGTTGGGGGATTGGTGTCAACTTGCAGTTGTGTGCGCGCTGTTGTTGGTATTTCTGGACGGGTTGCAGGTGATGGTCGGTTCAAGAGTCCTTTGAAGTGATCCGCCCATTGTTTAATCTGTTTTTCTTCCTTGGTAATTGGGTTCCCTTGGCTGTCTTTTATAGGTTTCGCTTGTGTTGATCTCTTCCCGGATAGAGATTTGGTTATCTGATATAATGTCCTCAGGTCCCTTTTGCCTGCTGCCTTCTCAGCTTCAGTGGCGAGGTTGTCGTAGAATCGTCTTTTGTCCTTCCTAGCACTCTTCTTCACTTCTTTGTCCAGTGCCTGTGTAAGTTGAGCTCATCGTCTCCTTCTCCTGTCCGTCCTTGCATTGAATCATTTTCTCTTTCACCATTCTCCTCTCTTCTATTAATTTCCAAGTGTCCGTTGAGAGCCATTCCTTGTCTTGTCTCTTCTTTCTTCCTAGAACCGTTGAACACGTTTCGTTGAGAATCGCCTTCAGAGACTTCCAATGTTCTTCCACGCATGATTCTTCAGTGATGTCGCGTAGTGTTTCCTGCTTTGCTCTGACAGTTGCAGTGAAAGTGTCTTTTGTGGTTGTGTCCTTCAGTTTCTGAGTGTTGAACTGGTATTGTGGCCTATACCCAGCTATCCTTGAGGCTCGTACAAGATATACAGTTAATAACTGAACAAAATTCCTGCAAAAGTAATTCTTCAAGATATTATAATAAATCTTTCTTTTCAGTTTACATCTCTGGCTAGAACTTATGCTGTTTAAAGCACATTTTAATGCAGTGAAGTCTGGCGGTGTATAGTGTATTTCAGCTGAAGGAGTATTGATTTTTAAAATTACCCAATCACTAGTTCTTTAAATGTATTCCTGCATCAAAAGCTTTTTCATACAAGTATCTGCTTCTTAGTTTCAATTTCGTGAAAACATTTCTTTTTTATCGTATTCACTCAGTCACTAAGTACGTTGAGTCTAACGAACTGGATTGTGAAAAACCTCTTTTTCATGGTTGAATAAAGTGGCCTTCCTGGTCAAATTTTAGTGTACCGATTCAATTACTTATTGAAATATGCGAAATGAAACGGTTCCAGAAGATACACTCTTCCACAACTTAATTTCTGACCTTTTTACAATAACAATTTTGCACGGTTTTGTTGTACAAGATTGAATTGCTATAAATAATACTTGATTCGAAAAAGCAACTCGGATGAAGCTCATAGACAGTGACAATTTTTAATAGTATGCGAAAAAACGACAAAGGTAATGGAATAAGGATAATTAACATGTTAGATTGCATAATAATATTAGCAGCTTTATTCCAAACGGTATTTGTGGTACAGGTATGGAATTTTCAGCGTGCATTACAGTATATTGCATCTAATTACCTCATAAATTATATAAGATTTTAAAATAAATAAATAAATAAAAAACCAACGCCAAAAAGTAAATAAAAGATAAATAAAAATAAAAAAAAAACTGCATAGAGTTTACATTTCAAATAATGCACCACAGGATATGAGATATAAAGTTGATGTGTGATAGAAGATGAGAACAACAGTGTAATAGTAACGAGGAAAGGAAAACAAAAACTGATGGGATTATTGGTTAGAGTGCCGCAGTAAGTCGATCGTGTCATACCTGACAGATTTCTCATCACATAACAGCTGTGCCAGATATGGTATTGTGGAGTTTTTGTATTTGGTAGTCCTAGCATATAGCCGCCTATAGCTGCTTCTAGCTGTTCTACCAGATGAAATGCAAGGAGACAGCTGCGTGTAGAGAGGATGCTCGGGGTCTGATAATATTGTATGCGCTAGTTTCTTACATGATATAATATGTCTATCTACAATAGACATAAAATATGTGAAAACATTTTCTGGACAAGATATAGTCAAGGAAAGCATAAGAACATAATGGAGACAAAATTGTTGACTTAATAAACTTAAAATGCACTGTGAAGAGAAGTATTTCTCAAATCCACAAGAGAAGTAAGGATTAAACAACCTTCTTTCTCATATAATATTCCGATTTCAACAAGTAACACTTGCAGTACAGAGGATTTGTAAACATACCGTCTTGAGTATATTTCTCCACACTTTTTAAATAACTCTGCATCATCAATCGTTTATTATATCGTTAACAGTATTAGTGATGTACTCAATCGTTCCACCTAAAACTAAAGTTATATATTTACACACTACGCATCTTATGTGCTTCCTCCAAAGGATTAGGTGAACTGATGTAACTTTGATACAGATGGAAAGGCCGTCAGGTTACTTAAAAATGAAATGAATACAACTCCTATAGTTTATTCAACAAAGCTTTTAGAAGTAATAGGTCATCATGTTGCAATGAAGTCACTTTCAAACTTCAATTTCATTTGTATATCGCTATTCATGTCAATGTGATTGTCTCTCAACTTATGGTTCATTGATGCGTTTTTCACAAATCATCCAGGATAAGACTTTTTGCTCGATTATCTGCATTATCTTCAAGCAAGCAGTACTTCAGATGTTTTAATACTACGGGTAAAGCAGGCGATGAGAATCCACCTTTATAAATCAGCTATACATATTTGGTGAAGATTTCATACAGATTTTCTTCATTCTCTGATATCTCTGATGGTGTCGTTTCCACATAAGAAAATCACTTCCGTTAGTATACTCATTTGATTGCCCGTACTCTGATGAATTTCACGCATTTGTCATGTTTACAACTATCATTATTTTAATTTCCTTGAATGATGGATTCATTAATACTTCATTAGATGTTTTTATGTTAGCTGATAAGAAATTCGCCATTAAAACAGTTATATTAATATTCCGTAGCGTTCCGAGTGGAACATACGTCTTCAGCAAAATACCTTCACTACGTTCTGTTTCCTGCTATCCTCATCAGCTGGGTCCATGATTCCCATAGTGCCTCATCTCCTCCATGTCAGCCTACAACTACACATTCGACACTCAGCGGATTTCATTCGACGAACTCCTCAAAGAATCCTTCGATCATATAGCCGCATCGCTGCACGGATTCCAACACTTCAAATCAACTCTTCTCGATTGTTGCCATCAATTTACCAATTCAAAGCCGAGCTCTCACAATCTGTTGACCAAAGATTACACAGACCAGACCAGCCTAAAGAACTGAAGGAAAAGCATGATACAACCACAAGTCGTCCTGATAGAGGCGGAGGCGTTGTTCCGGTGAACCGCCAGGAATATGTCGACCGAATCTTAGCGATTCTCTCTGACCGGACGAAAATCGCCAAATCCCACGGTGAAATAAACAAAACACAGCTAATTGGAAACCACCTGACAAATGTTCTACAAAACATGACGAACGAGTCAATGATCTCCTCAGATTCACATGAGCGTGTCTCACGCGTCGGCTCCATAATCTCACGTTTATATGGATTACCTCTTCGTCCGATCCTCCATATGATGGGTTCCCCTTATCATCGTATGGCTCAATGGCTAGCGGAAATTTCCGGAAGCAGTCACAAGGCAAGTGTCTAAGTTTGTCACTGCTGATACAATTCAACTAGTTGAGGGTATCAGAGATTTCGACGCCTCAGACAAAGTCATGCTTTCATTAGACGTGACCTCGTTGTTAACTAATGCGTCTCTCACAGAAACCATCTGCTAGATATGCGACTATATCGGTGCAGATAGTTTAGATCTAGGGCTTCCAACAACCTGCCTTAAACAACTCTCACTCAGATGCACATCCAACGTCCAGGTTAGCTCTAACTACCAGATATATAGACAGAAGTAGGGTGTTTCGATGGAATCACCACTGGGTCCACTACTGGCTGGTTGTCTTATGTCAAAGCTTGAAAACACTCAGCTTAGTCGAGTTGTTGGATGCTTTGACAAGCGTCTTTAGAATTCACTCTAGAAAATGAATCTGAACTAGGCATTCCTTCTCCTGGTGTGTCCCACACAACACACAACAACACAGCTCCCAAATATATCCATCCACCGAGCACGTAGCTGGATGGAATGGACGATTAACTATTCTCTATAGTTGGGTGGTGCCTATTCCCAGGAGTAGAAGCCTTATTCACTCCCTCTGCTATTCGTGAAGAGAGGCTTGTCGTTCTGACTGCCTTCACGCTGAATTTTCTTTCCTAAGAGGCAGGCTTGCTGAAAACCCTCACCCCAACCGTTGTATTGATAAAAAGACGAAGGATAAACATTCCAATCTCGCCACCAACTCAGTTCCAAAGAAAAGCATCTTCGTCAATCTGGAGTTTAAGGGTGATCAGACTTCAGATATGCTCGGAAATCCTCCTTCTAAATCAGTCGGTAAGACGTTGTCTGAGGCGAAACTCCACTCGACCCTCACCAGCCGGAAGTTGTTCTCCACTTGTCTAAAAGACAAGCTCCCTCGTATTCATGAAGTATCGACTGGTGAAAGCCAACAGTTTGACGACGATATCTCTATTGTCGTCGAAAATCAGTTTCACTTCACCAATCACAAACAATACTGACAGCCTCAAGCCGGTAGAAGTACAGAGGAGATCTCCCACTGATCCCCACAAATGTGTCTTCAGTCAGTATTCTGACATTCTTTCGACATCTCAGCTACAAGCTGTGTCACTCGGTCACTGCGTCACTGGGTCCTAAGTCCTGCAACAGCGTATCCAGTGTCAACAGACTGCACACTCAAGTGCAACTTACAAAGCGAAACAGCTTAACTAGCCAGACTTTCGATCTTATAGCCGCATCGCTGCACGGATTCCAACACTTCAAATCAACTCTTCTCGATTGTTGCCATCAATTTACCAATTCAAAGCCGAGCTCTCACAATCTGTTGACCAAAGATTACACAGACCAGACCAGCCTAAAGAACTGAAGGAAAAGCATGATACAACCACAAGTCGTCCTGATAGAGGCGGAGGCGTTGTTCCGGTGAACCGCCAGGAATATGTCGACCGAATCTTAGCGATTCTCTCTGACCGGACGAAAATCGCCAAATCCCACGGTGAAATAAACAAAACACAGCTAATTGGAAACCACCTGACAAATGTTCTACAAAACATGACGAACGAGTCAATGATCTCCTCAGATTCACATGAGCGTGTCTCACGCGTCGGCTCCATAATCTCACGTTTATATGGATTACCTCTTCGTCCGATCCTCCATATGATGGGTTCCCCTTATCATCGTATGGCTCAATGGCTAGCGGAAATTTCCGGAAGCAGTCACAAGGCAAGTGTCTAAGTTTGTCACTGCTGATACAATTCAACTAGTTGAGGGTATCAGAGATTTCGACGCCTCAGACAAAGTCATGCTTTCATTAGACGTGACCTCGTTGTTAACTAATGCGTCTCTCACAGAAACCATCTGCTAGATATGCGACTATATCGGTGCAGATAGTTTAGATCTAGGGCTTCCAACAACCTGCCTTAAACAACTCTCACTCAGATGCACATCCAACGTCCAGGTTAGCTCTAACTACCAGATATATAGACAGAAGTAGGGTGTTTCGATGGAATCACCACTGGGTCCACTACTGGCTGGTTGTCTTATGTCAAAGCTTGAAAACACTCAGCTTAGTCGAGTTGTTGGATGCTTTGACAAGCGTCTTTAGAATTCACTCTAGAAAATGAATCTGAACTAGGCATTCCTTCTCCTGGTGTGTCCCACACAACACACAACAACACAGCTCCCAAATATATCCATCCACCGAGCACGTAGCTGGATGGAATGGACGATTAACTATTCTCTATAGTTGGGTGGTGCCTATTCCCAGGAGTAGAAGCCTTATTCACTCCCTCTGCTATTCGTGAAGAGAGGCTTGTCGTTCTGACTGCCTTCACGCTGAATTTTCTTTCCTAAGAGGCAGGCTTGCTGAAAACCCTCACCCCAACCGTTGTATTGATAAAAAGACGAAGGATAAACATTCCAATCTCGCCACCAACTCAGTTCCAAAGAAAAGCATCTTCGTCAATCTGGAGTTTAAGGGTGATCAGACTTCAGATATGCTCGGAAATCCTCCTTCTAAATCAGTCGGTAAGACGTTGTCTGAGGCGAAACTCCACTCGACCCTCACCAGCCGGAAGTTGTTCTCCACTTGTCTAAAAGACAAGCTCCCTCGTATTCATGAAGTATCGACTGGTGAAAGCCAACAGTTTGACGACGATATCTCTATTATCGTCGAAAATCAGTTTCACTTCACCAATCACAAACAATACTGACAGCCTCAAGCCGGTAGAAGTACAGAGGAGATCTCCCACTGATCCCCACAAATGTGTCTTCAGTCAGTATTCTGACATTCTTTCGACATCTCAGCTACAAGCTGTGTCACTCGGTCACTGCGTCACTGGGTCCTAAGTCCTGCAACAGCGTATCCAGTGTCAACAGACTGCACACTCAAGTGCAACTTACAAAGCGAAACAGCTT